ATTCTTCTACAGTTCTTGGTTCAACATCATTTTCATCAGACACGATGTCGATTGCGATGGAATTTGCAAATGTTTCATTAACGATAACATCTTTCCTATTCCACTGAGTCTTTGTAGAGACGTAATTCATTGAAATTTCATTGTTTCGATGTTTTGAACATCTTGTTCATTCCCCGTAGGGTTGTCTTCTTGTTCGTCCCCTTTTGGATTATCATCATTTTCTTTACTTTCATCCACATTTGGTCTTTCTTGACCTTCTGACGGGGGAACATTATTAGTCTCATTTTCTATTCCATCCAATCTTTTTAGTTTCCTTGGCTTAGAATCTTTTGAACCAAGTGGTCTTCCACGCTTTATGCGTGCCTAAGATTCATTTTCTATGGCCTTATTACCAGTTGGGATTTCAATACGTGCAGGGGCAATTTCTGCTGCTATATGTGATTTTGTCACCTTCTTTGTGTCTACAAATGCATCAGGCAATTGATTGCAACACTTTGTAAATGAACAATTTTCTTAACTTCTTGTTCACACATATTTGTTCGTGGGTCTAACATCAACAGTTGTGTTGCATTCCAAATGAGTTCAATTTCTTTCTTATGTGGGTCCACTTTCTCTCCCCCTAAGGCTGGGAATACTATTTCATTAAAGTGACAGTCCGCAAATCTAGCCGTAAATAAGTCACCAGTCAATGGTTCAAGGTATTTAATTATAGAGGGGGATTCAAACCCGACATAAATTCCCAGCCTTCTTTGTGGACCCATTTTTGTTCGTTGGGGTGGAGCAATGGAAACATATACAGCACAACCAAAGATTTTTAGATGTGAGATACTTGGTTCTCGACCACAAACAAGTTGTAGTGGTGAGAATTTATGATAAGTTGTAGGTCTCAATCTAATTAGCGTTGCTGCATGTATTATAGCATGTCCCCAAGCAGATGATGGCAATCTTGACCTCATTAATAATGGTCTTGCAATCAATTGTAATCTCTTAATTAGTGATTCAGCTAGACCATTTTGTGTATGAACATGAGCTACTGGGTGTTCAACATCAATTCCAATTGACATACAATAATCATTAAATGTTTGGGATGTAAATTCCCCAGCATTGTCAAGTCTTATTTTCTTTATTGTATGATCTGGGAATTGTGCTCTTAATTTGATGATTTGGGCAAGTAATTTTGCTAAGGCAACATTTCTACTTGAAAGTAGACTAACATGTGACCATCGTGTAGAGGCATCAATTAAAACCATGAAATATCGAAATGGTCCACATGCTGGATTAATCGGCCCACATATGTCTCCCTGAATTCTTTCCGAGAATTTTGGAGATTCAGTAGCAATTTTGTTCATGGATGGCCTTATTATTAATTTTCCAAGTGAACATGCAGAGCATGTTAATTCATCTGATCGGGGAATTTTGACATTTCTTATTGAATGTCCAACTGAATGTGCTATTATTCTTTGCATCATCCCAGTTGCTGGATGTCCCAAACGATCATGCCATAAAATAATCAAATGTTTGTCATCTAACTTCTGGTTAGATACCATATTGATTTCCACGGGTCGTATGTTTATACGATATAACCCCGAAGAGTATGCTGGCAATTTCTCATATATATGTTTCTTGCCATGTTTTTCTGCCATGAGGCATATATACTCTTTTTGATCTGTTGTCATTGTTTCTAGATGATAGCCATTTTGGCGTACATCTTTAAAGCTTATGAGATTTCTTCGAGATTTACTCGAATATAAAGCATTATTGATTATTAATTTTGTTCCATTTGGAAGCATTATACAAGCCTTTCCAGATCCTTCAATTAATTTAGCTGACCCGAAAATGGTGTTTACATTTGCTTGAAACAACTTTAGTTGTGAAAAATATTTTCTATCTTTTAAGATAGTATGTGTTGTTCCACTGTCCAAAAGGCATTGATATTCGGAACTAACTTCAGGTAGATCCATATCTTCATAAAATAAATTTGAGATTAGTTTAGAATAATATCATACAAACTTTTATTGATGATAGAGATTTAAAGTACATGACTAGAAATTTAGAATACAGGGAACTAAGAAAATACATTAAAACATAGCATATGTTACATTAGTAGATGAGAAACCTAAGTATTGTTGTTTTCTCCAAGAATGAAATCATTTCCAATTTCAGCATTATCCATGAAATAATCAGACACATCAAGGCTGGGACAAGGAGCATTTTCCTCATTAACATAATTTGCTTCTGCATTTTTCTCTTTGCCTTTTACAGAAGCCTGGTAAAGGTCTACCAAATGTTTGGCCGTTCGACAAGTACGTCCCCAATGTCCTGTCATGCCACATCTGTAACATGTGTCTTTTCCTTTCGAAGGAGTTTGTTTGTGGCTTCCAGATGACTGTCCCTTCTGTTTTTCAAATTTTTTGAAATTACTGTTTCTTTGAAAATTATTTCTACCACGACCACGGCCGCGTCCGCGATAATTTCCACGGCCTCTTCCACGACCATTGTAATTTCCACGTCCACCTCTTCTTGTAGCATTTGACTCGGGTGGATAAGAATTTGTTGCATTTGCCTCATGATGAGTGGCCAAAGACCCAGTTGGTCTCAGGTTATGATTTTTCAACAAAAGTTCACTATTTTGTTCCGCAACAAGCAATATACTCATTAATTCATTGAACTTTTTAAAACCTCTTTCACGATACTGTTCTTGCAACAGTATGTTACTTGCATGAAAGGTAGTGAGTGTTTTTTCAATCATCTGTTCATCTGTAACCGGATGATCACAGTATCTCAATATAGACACTATCTCATGTATGGTTGAATTATAATCAATTACAGATTTGAAATCCTGGAACCGTAAATTTGTCCAATCAAATAATGCCTTAGGCAGGAGCACCCTTTTGTGGTGTCCAAATCTTTCATTAAGGCAATCCCATAATTCTTTGGGATCTTCAACCATCATGTACTCAGTTTTAAGGCCTTCATGTAAATGATGCCTTAACAACACTAAGACTTTTGCCTTATCTTGTTCAGTGATAGGTTTTTCAACCGTCATTGCAGAAGAGGTAGCATCAGTTGTTTGACCAGAGGGACTTTTATTTTCTTTAACAGTGTGCTCCAAACCTTGAGCTTTCAAATTCATCATTGCATCCACTTTCCATTCCAGAAATTTCTTTCCAGATAAATCTAAGATGCTGAACTGTCTTTTCATAAGGTCTCCCATTTTAGCTACAACAAATTTCGTGATAATTAGATTATAATAACAAATTATATGTACAACTCACATGTTTAGTTCTTCCATATTTATAATTAAGTTAATAAGACACGTGATAATTAAATTTAATAATAATAAACCATAAATAATATAGTCTTTTCTCCCCCTTGGTTTATTATTGTGAGTAATTATATGATTAGACAAAAATTAATCATGTTAGTTGCAAAAAAACAGCAAAACGACAACAATGACAGTAGTAACAATAATTATAATGATAACGGTAATATTATACAATGATGATTAATAACAACAAACAACATAATAAAACAAAAACAAGCTTTTATATACTAAAACGACAAAATAAGTGAGTTTTACTTATACATAATGACAAAAATTAATATTGCTACTAATAGAACTACAAGTGCCGTAATTAGAAGGAAATATTGTTTTATCTTCCTTAAATCTTCTTCAAAAGTGAAGTTGTGGGTGTTTTGGGTGTTTTGGTTGCCGTCGTCGGGGAACATATCGGAGAAGAAGGGGGTGAAATTTTTATTTTTTTTAGGTGATTTTTGGATAAAAAGTGGGAAGAGATAAAGGATTTGTGGTGAAATTGGGGGAAAAATCCGTCTTTTATAGAGGTAGGTTTATCCGTTACTGTTCTGTACAACTGTAAAAATATCATATAATAGTCTAACGTACTGGCATAAAATTATGGTCCATATATATATTTATAATTGTAAAAGGTTATCACACTGGGAATGCAAGCCATAGTGGTCCGAGAGCCCTAATATCTATAAAAGATCATGGGTTCGAAAACGGAAAGAAACACAAAAAAGTATGTAAAAGTAAGAAAAATAATAAGTATAAAAAGGCTGCATCTTTTTGTTAATCTAGTTAATAATAATATGCATGCAAAGCTACTACTTAGCAATTATAATAACTAAGATAAAAATTTACGTAAAATGAGTATGTAATATCAACATGGATCAAATAAAGAAACATCAACATGAATAAACAAAAGATGATAGTAGTAAATTCACAAGTAAGAGAACTTTCACCGTTGTTTTTTGAGGTATATATAGTAAATGTTTGAGTTTCTGTTATAGAGGATCCCAAATATGGGCAACTATAGAGCATACTCCTCGAAACAGTTAGAAGTAGATAGTATTATTTTGTTATAAATTTTTATAAGTAGGTATAAATATACCTGACTGAAAACTCGTGCTGATAACGTGTTAAAGTTTTACCGATAGAAAGTTTTATAAAGGAGTAAGAGTAGATGGAGAAATTGATTATGTATATTGCTCCGGTAACATGGCTTATATAGCCAAGAGTTTTACATATAATGCCACACAAGTTCACAAGTCTTTGGACTTGTGTGAACATTGTGAAATCAAATCAAATAATTATAGGCATTCATATTTATCTTCTAACACTATGAACTTATTCGTGTTATGTTAATAAGGGATTATTTATTATTTTGTGTATTCGATAGCTTACCATTCAACATGTATAGTTTAGTAACTTTAGTTTCCCTTTCCTTGAGAAAATAAGAGAGTTAAAAAAAATAAAAATATGAAACTTTTGTACTCATAAAATTGCTAAGATAGATGTGCAAAACCTATATCAATCATCTTTGTCATAGCCTCATAATAACGTTAACAACAATGATTACTCGATCTCAGGCGTCAAATTCTGCCAATCATGTAAAATTTTATACTGGTACAAAATACTCCGTAAAAAATTACCAATAATCATTCAGATGTCTCAAATTTTGCTCCAGGATCAAAATCCATCAAGATAATAAAGATAAGAACTGCATTAAAGCCAAAGGGTACGACTAAAAATTATGGTGTATTCCACTACAATGTGACAATTTGTCCGTTAAGATAAAATCAAGACGACAAATCCAACAAAAATTACGAGCAACAGCAAAACAAGACGTCGTATACCTCGTTGAATCTTTGTGCAAGTTGCAGAGCATCTCAACCTACTTTTAAAAACCTGCTAGTATTAAAGTTTACAATTTCTCTATTGGTAAGACATACATTAAGGCTTAAGCTTTAGACTTCTTTCCCTTTGCTTCTGGGGCGGGTTTGCTCTGGAAAGGCAAGAAGGTCTTCCCATACATGAATGGTCTTAAAACTTCTGGTATTTCGACTCCATCTTCCTTCTGGTAGTTCTCCAGAATACAGCACAAGGTTCTTTCAGTTGCTGTCAGAGTTGAATTCAGCAGATGGACATATTGCTTTGTTTGTTCATTGCTCTGTGACCAAGCAAAAGATATAAAACTTCAAACTCATGCTCTCTAAATCATCTTAATGGACAGTGCTAATTGAAACAATAGGAGTCGCAAATAAACGATAAATTAGGTTAATTAGGTATAGGAGATCCACCAAAATTTAGAAGACAATTCACAGAGTACCTTTTTCTGGCCATATCGAATCTCCAATCTCCTTGACTGGAAGTCTGTACAGTTTGAACATGACACCAACTCTCTATATTGATTAGATGAAGGAAACCAAGCTTCCAAATCAAGCTTCTTTGCTGCTGCGTCATTCAGGGCACCAGAAACGATGGCCACAATCTGATAAGGAAGTCCCAGCTGCAATGGAAAAGCCAATTTAAAAGGCTGAACTAGACTTGAAGCACTCCAGACCATAATAAAGAAAGGGCAGCAATTGCAAATCAAGCATTCTAAAACAAAGAAACACGCCAAAACATGCAAGAGTTTATCATTAACAAAATTAAGGATGCTACAACATGTGTTTAGTCAGATATCCAAAACAGTTATCATGATAGATTTGAAGTTGATACAACACACATAGTACACAGAAATAGAATACTGCAGACAGGAGAAAACAATATACCTGCTGATAAAATTCTTCAGAGTTTTTTAACATCTCCTCGTGCATATCCCATGAATCATTTCCATTTGGGCTAGTGATGCAAAATTGTTCAATTTTCTCAAACTGATGAACTCGGAAAATTCCAAGAGTATCTCGCCCATGCGAACCCGCTTCTTTCCTGAAGCACGATGAGTATCCGGCATATCTAACAAGAATAACACAAAAATAAGGACACAATCAAAGAATCAAATAATTCCAATTGTACAAAAGAACAAAGATTGCACCTTATTGGGAGTTGGGAGGGATGAATCCAATCATCCAAGTGGAAAGCACAAAGCGGCTGCTCAGCAGTGGCAATCAAATATTTGTCATCCCCCTCACCAGTTACCTATTGGAAATATGAATCAACAACTTAACCTTCAACAATTTACTTACTGAATAGCCAGACAATTAAGCAAGAATGCATCCATGCTCATCAGCAACCAGCAACAGCCAGTAAGCAGTAGTAATCGGTGCTTTTTTTAATGTAAGATTAACAATATTCTCTTAAGACTAAATCTGATCAGTAACACATAGACATCACAGGGATATGATTAGGAATGTCTAGATGGTTCAACCCAGTACATAGTGTAATGAATTTAATAACAGAAAGATAAACAGTGAGGACAGCACATACATACATACCTCATAAGAATCATACACAAACAGTTATCTGCGCATTGAAAATTTTACCTTGTAAAGTTCTTCGTCGAATTGGGCTAATTGAGCACATTTTGCCATGATATCTTTCCGCATGAAGAATGGAGTCATTAACGGTGTATACCCCTTTGATGACAGAAAACTGAGACCAAAATTTATCAGAGCTTGATTCAGAAGGACGCCATCACCTTTCAAGTAAAAACCTCTAGCACCAGCAACGTTGGAGCCTGTACATGTCATATTTAGCACAATTAGCCGTTAGATAGGATATGAACATTTATGCATCCTATATAAGCGACATGCTATGACAGTGGTGTGAAGGACTGGACAATATGGTTGCTTAAATATGAGTTGAAGGACACTATCTCACTGAATGCATACTACCTTCACCCAAGAGTACACGAGAGTTGGCCTTAAATTACATTAAAATAGAGTGACAAAATGAGCAAAATGATCAGCTAAAACAAAGCATATTCAAATTCCAAGCGATAGAAACTGAATTCATATTCACAATCATCTGTCAAGCAGCCACAGAAAGAGAGCCGTGAAACAATCAATGAATCTGTTCCTATCCTTACCAGTAGTGAAGAGCATTCAATTTGCAGAAATGAGAAAAAATGAGGTGAGGGATTAAACACGAGTATCCACAAAAACAATGAGGAATTAAACAAGGAAGAATTAAAAAAAACGCTGGAGTACAAAATACAAAGCTTTCAAAAACAAGAAATACAGCACCTTTCTTCGTATCTACTATCCCAAGAAGCTCAACGAGGTCAACATGATTTTTCAACTTTGGTTCCATTCGCCTTTCACCCCATGTTCGGATCACAGCATTGTTCGCCTACATCATCATACAAACAAGTTTGTGGACACCAAGTGAGTTTGTGGGCACCAAGTCTGATTAAAATGCATTTATTTCTAATTTCTTATGTTTCTTGAGCACTATATCTAACCACCAAAAAAAGTAAACGAAGTAATTTCTTATAATTCTTGAGCACTATATCCAATCACCAAGAAATGTAGAAGATAATTTGTTTTCCATCTACATCCATATACAGTCATACCTCATCATTGCTAACTGGGACAGAATCGTGAATCAGATTCCCAATCAATTCCAATTTGGCATACAATGCAGCCTTAACTTCCTGAACTTCAGCATCTTTCTCTGCAGTTGATTTCTTATTCTCGTCTGTGCTTTTGATCATTTCAGATGCATCCTCACCTTTCTGCACAGAATTGCCTTGGTAAGATTTCGAAAGACAAAATAACATTCTTAAATACATGCAAATCATGAGTACAATCAGCAACTCACAATTTTCAGGCGTGCCACCTCTTTGTTGATCCTATTGAAGTCCTTGCGCAAGCTCTCTAGCTCAAATTGACCTAACAAACAATCATTTATCAAGTTGACCGCTGAGGTAATGAAAAACTATTTGAACCACTGAGGTAATTATAAAACTTCTACGCCATAATGTAATAACTAATGACCAATCAAACAACATTGTGACCAAATCTATCTCCTTTGTCCAGTTGAGCTTTTCGATCAAAACATACTTCAAAACCTGAATACTTACAGATACAACACTAAATTACTGCAAACGAAACACAATATTATTTCTAATCTGTAGCAAAACTAAACTTTCAAGTCAAAAGTTTATTTCAAATTTATATTTAAAGGACTTAGTAAGAACTTTATACAGTTTACCTTTAACTAACTGTCGATCATTATCACTAATTATGCTACAAAAAGGAATCAAATTCTCTTTATTCAAGGATTTAAGCAACTAAATGAAGTTGGTTTCGACCAAAAATCCAAATGTAGAATTGTCGCTGGTGATCTTTTGAAGCTACCAATATCACAAAAACCTCCATTAAAAAAAATCCCAAAATTCGATCCTCAAAAATAAAAGTAAGTTGGCAAATTTAATCAGTGTAAAAATTGTACTACATTTTCCCAATCATAACCAAAATTTTCAAATTTTATATGTAAAAACAACTTTAAATCACCATTCCAACATTCTCCCACAATTTTACACACAGAAAAATCAAAACTTTCCTAGAAATTCAAGCTTACTAACCACGCAACTTCATAATCACAAAATTAACAGAGATCCATTAATAAAGCAACTTCAATCAAAAACATCAAAAGCAAAATTCCAGAAAAACAAAAATGAAGAATTCATTTCAATAAACTAAAATATGAAAAAGAGGAGAGAGAAAAAGTACGTCGGCGCCATTCTTGGTCGAGGACGATAATCTCATCAACAATGGCTACATCTGCGAAACGACGACGTTGAGATTCGCGGATGATTTCAGGGTTTCCACCTTTATCTACACGAAATAGATTGATGTCCAACATTCTTAATTTCTCAGATTGAACCTCGAGAAAACGTCAATGGAGGCGGCTAAAGACAGAGAAAGTGAGAGGAAGAGCAGTTGAGTAAAGAAGGCTTTTTAATGGAGTGAATATTGGAGTTAAAAGAAAACCCTATCGTTTACCGTGGGAGGAATATATACGGAATATAAACTATACGAAGAGATGTTTCTAAGTTAGAGCGTTAACGTGAGTTCGTTTCTCTTGATCACGGTTTCCTTTTTGGCGAAAAGTCATCTCAAAAGCTAGGTCAAGTGATGGGAGCTTATTGTACTTTATAACCCCATATTAGCCCTTTTTATGACCATACCTTGCAATGGACCGTAATATATCACCCTGTTTATAGTATAGAGAATGAAGAAGGGAGAAAGGAGAAGATAGAAGAGAGAGAACGCTCCTTGCCCCTTATGAGCACCAGCATCACCTCCATCAGTGGGTTCAATGAACCCAACTGATTTTTTGAATTTTTTTTTTTTAAATAAAAAAACAAAAAAAAAAACTTATAAAAGCAATTTGTGCGCTTAAGTAAGAATAGGAAAAGTAGAAAAGCCCAATGGTAGAATGGAGTTTACTTTTGTAATTTTATACACATACTCCTTTTAACGTTTGTAATTTTACAATTACAATTTAAACACATACTCTTTTGTGATTCATACGTTAAAAAATATATATAGCCAAGTGGGATATTGTTAGATTCGTCTCGGAATCTTTTTTATAATATCAACTATTCATAATTTTTACAAAATTGATATAACTTAAGATGTTTAGCTTGTAGAGCGTGTATTGATAAGCATGAAATCACCAATGTTGCAATTAAAACGAACGGATTGATGTCGTATATCTTATTTTTTTAAAGATTTTGAACCCACATTTCTGAATTCCTGGATACGTCACTAACCTCCATCGATCACATGAAGGCACAAAGGAGCAATGGTTAGCTTTGATACCATTGATACAAGACAATATAAGAGTCATACCCAAAAGCTAGCTCCAGAAGAGGAGATTCCATTATCCTATAAATAGGAATTTCACATGTGGGGGCTTATTTTTTATTTTTTTTCCCTATATTAGCAAAGACTCTTATATGACATCCATGCTTAGGTGGTGAGCAGAGACGTTGTTAATTGCTCCCCAACTTAGATGCGAGATCAAATCTCATAGGGCTCATTTGAAGATTTCTTTAATCTGCTCCTCAAGTAGAGTCTTCTTCTACGAACTTTGTTATGACAAGAAGAAAACAATTGATTGATACAACTTTCAAAACCACTCTTTACCACTCATGGAACCTTTCCTACCCAAAGTATAATCCATCCATGTTAGTGAAAGGTAGAAATTATCAATCACAACTCAAATCCCCAGCCAACTTTTGATATTCTGTATGTACACATCAAAGAAAAGATGCCAATTTTAATTGTAATTTTACTTGTAATTTTTTTGGATAGACAAGATAATATAGCCATTTTGCCATTTAAATAGTCATTTTTCCCTCTTATCCAAATAATAAAACAAGTCCCTATATTACATTCTCTATCCCATGCTTCACGTTTAGTCAAACAGTTCAAATTCTGAGCATTGTTTTGTGCAATCACATACTCACCCACTGAATTACTTAAAACAGACGTAAATTAGAGTACAGCAAATAAGAAATCACTGAATCTGGTACTGCTATTATTACTCGAATAAACAGTCGAGAAACATAGCAAGGCCGCCAAGATCATTATATACAGAGGCCTACAGCATTAGATACTGTAGGATAGAGAAAATTTTCTATCGGCTCTGCAGGAAGATTAATGCATAACTGAAACCTTAAAATAACTGCAACCATGGTCATCTGGAAGAAGACAGACCATAAGCATACGTACATCACTCACTGAATGAAAACTAAAGTGGGAAGGAAGGAAAAAAAAATAAAAAATCCACCCCCTTCATCAAACCTACTTCTTATCATTGCTGGATTGTTCGCCCTTATCGAGATCTGCAGCAGCAGGTTTGGCAGTCTCTACTTCAGGGGATTCCTTTGGTTTGTTCACGACTGTGGCTTCTACCAGTGGAGGGGGCTGGGCTTCTACCAATGGAGGGGACTGGGCATCAACAGAATGAAATTCCTTTGGCTCTTCAGAATTTTGCACGTCAGGTTTTCTGGAAACTTGCATTTCCTCAAATTTTGAAATGATTTTCTGGAGTTCATCATTAAGATTCAGAGCCTCAAACAGCAAGCTTTCATCATCATTTGTGCTTTGAACTATCCTCTGAAGAACAGGCTGTGAATCCTTGCACTTGTCTAACATGTTCATCGTCAGATCATCCTGCAATATCACAAATGAGCTACACTTTCAATAAACCAATCAATAGTCAAATAATCAGAAGTCAGAACTGTCTAACAGATTGACACATTTATGTAAACTACTGAGCTGCAAAGATAGAAAACACGGTGAGGGACACATACATTTGGAACTGGCGAAAGATAAGAAAGCTCTTTATGTACAGGAAATTATCCATAAGGACCATAACCTATTCACACCAGACTGAGGTAAACAAACCGATTTTTGTCAAGTAGGAAAATATGGCATCACTGAATCAGATTAATATTCAAGTAATGCCATCACATAATGGACCAGATTAACAAAAAATGTCTACAAGTCTTGCACTCTTGCTCTTGCAAACAGACACAAAGTGTACTTTTGGGTTAAAAAAAAAAAAAAAAAACTGTCAACAACTTTCTATTCTAAGATATGTTTCTTGGACTCAATTTCAAGTTCTTGTGTAAAATTCTCAACACTCAGACCTGATTACAGAAGTTTTGACTTACTATTAAGGACGCGTGCGAGATAAAATTTCATAAAAGGGACCAAGTCTAGCACCTAAGGTATTGAACATGTATGTGATGTACCTGTGTCCAGAACTAGACGCAAAGTCTAAAATAACATACTTCCACTGTTTTTTTTTACTTGACCTGTTTCTTTTATCATGCTTGTCGATGCACAATTTAATCATCAATAACTTTAATCCTCTATAAGTAAAAATTTTAAAAGTTATATATTGTGATAGTACTTATTTAAACGATTCTAACAAGATCCCACATGAACATGTTTTTCCTTGCATATAATTCACAAAAAACGGTCAAAGGTGGGGTGATGAATAGTATAAAAGTCAAAGCGGGTCAAGTAAAAAAGAACGGAGGAAGTAGATTTTTAAGTACTAGGCACACACTTCATATGGAATTGGTTAAGATATGTAAAAGGGATCATATAATAAAATTTATCAGTTATGGTCACAGAAATAATTGGCTAATAGACAGCTAAAAAACAACATAGGTAAACCGCAGACTAATGGCAACTGATACCTCTGTTGTTCTGTTATATTCTTAAATATCCCCTTCTCTACTTCCCACACCCTTTTGAGTGAAGGGCTTGCAAAGCTATTATAGGATTTAATTATAGGTATCATATGAATATATGGGCGACAAAGCTAAACCTAATCATCAATTACCATGTGAAACTGGAGGGCTCGCTTTAGTTGTTTAAAAGTGTGCAGGTCAATATATCACATTAACACCTAACATCATCCTGAGCTAAAGATGCATCCTGTGACAATAGGCATAGATGTAGAGGTGCAGGCGTGCAGCAAGCTATAATTGCATGCTTTGGAACAGTTAAAAAAAATATAAAAAACTATCAGTATGTAGGTAAGATACTTTTTTTTTATTTATTTATTTATTATTTTTTTTTTTATCTGAGTTCAGTGATAGATCCACAGAGGTTAACAATTAAACACTTCAAAACTTAAACCTGCAGCTGAGTCCTGATCTATAAAAAAACATTACCTCAATGACTTTGGGATCTGCTTCAGAGCTCAACAAACTGGAAAGCACTTCAAGGCTATTCTTGGTAATTTCTAGAAATTCCTTCTTTTGCTCTGAACTAAGATTGCCATAGTTGTAAGGCAGCATAGCATCAGCTGCACCATTTGACTCTGAGCCAGGAATCGGATAGCTTTCAGGTGGTGAGACTTCATGCTCATCGGTGTATGACTCCAAAGAATACTGCACAGGCGGAAATGATCCATCTTCCACCTGAGAAGACATGCTCCTCCTTTTCAAGTTCTGTCAATTTGATTTGATGAAGCAACAAAAAGAACCATCAGAGATATTAGAACATAATGGCAATTACAACCCAATATAAATTTTGAAAAATAATAACATTGCTGCAACATCTTCTCTAGAGATTTGATAAAAAGTTATTTTATTTGTGACTTGATACTGCCAACATTATTAAACTTAACTACCTAAATGGACTTTCCAGTATGTGAATTTTTTTCAAGGATAGTTGTATACTTGTATGACACATTGAAGAGTGACAAATGTGACGAAGCTCATGTAAGTTACCAATATGGCATCGCATCAATCAGCACTGTGTGATTTCAATTTCATTGCTGAGCCACTCTACTTTACAATCCTAATACTTTTAAAAACAAAATACTCCCTCCATCCAGACAATATATATCATCGATAAGAGCCTTAATCTATTTCAGACGTCAAGATACAGCATCACCTGTCAAAAGTTTATAGTTTATTACTAGACTTCTAAGATGTTCTTACATAAATTGGATGATTCAAAGCGTTAAGATGGATTAACTCTTGAAACAAAATAACACGCCTATAACAATACTTACTCCATACTACATAATCAAACTACCAGATTGTCAAATTGTTAGAGAACATGAACCTAGGCAGCTAGGCTACCCAAAAATTAGAAGAGGAAAGTTCAAACCATGAAGAGGTTTCATCCCAAAACCAATTGATGATGGGAGGAATAGCTCCTCAAGCTTCCTCGAGCCAATAAGGTGGTCCGTATCCCTCCTTATCTCCAATGTCCGAAGACTGACATGTGCACAACATGTGATTTCAACAAGAATCAAATGAATTTTACGCAAAACTAAGGAAGTTAATCTAACAATATAACCTAAGTTACACATCCACCAAAAATCAAAATAATGCAGGCAAAATATGATTATATGAACAAATCATGGCCTACAAATACGCATTTCCCTCAAATATTCAACATACAATCAAACACGAATAAACTGAATTAAGGCAATAAATTGTTCAAATCACCTCATAAGTTTGGCGAAAAACAGGCAAATAACTCAACTCCTCAGTCTCACCCCAAGCCCTAATCAACTCCATAGCTCTAACTTGACATTCTCGATCAGCCTGAGGATTCTCAATCAGCTTAACCACCATATCTTCCACAACTTTCTCCGACGCAATCTCCGAGAAAACCTTCTCACAGTTCATCGCACAAGCTTCTAGAAGCTCCAACGCCAACCTCAACCCCTTAGCATCACCATTTCCGCCATTGTTGATCTTCTTCTTAATCGCCTTCACAATTTCAGCACCGCTCAATTCTTCGGCATTGATTTGCGAGCAAATTCGCAGATTAAGGCCCCAATCAGGAGATTCGAGCGTCGGAGAAGTGGATTGATCGACGATTCGTGATTCTGGAGTTGGAGTTTGAAGAAGGTCCTTCATTTCCTTCACTTTTAGGGATATTGTTCTTCCCATTTGTGTTCCTCCAGCTTTCAAACGTTCTCCAATGGAGGCTAGCGTAGATTTGTCCATTGATTTTAGGGTTTGTTGTGGAGGTTTTAGGGTTTGAAATTGGGGATTTTGATTTACGGTGTTTTTGAATTTTGATGGTGAAAAGAAAAGGTTATGGATGATTAAATGAGGGAATGTTTCGATTATGTTCGTGTCAAATGACAGAGATAAACGTGGAAGGTGTTAATCAATTGGTCCTATGATCCTATTTGGTAGTACTCGGATCGTATAATTAAGTTATCCATAAATGGACAAAAACTATTTTCTTAGTTGCGATAATTTACAACTATTTTCTCGTACATTTTCGACTTCTATAGTGTCAATCATTGATAATGTTAGCGGTTGTTAGTAATGAATCATAAACTACCCACTAGCAAACTAAACCTTAAAAAGCACTCAATTTCAATTTTTAAGTCGTACACAGATACATAAAGAAAATGATTGTGTAGGAACTATTCATCGATTATGATAACTGAGAAAATAAATTTCATATCAACCCAAAAAATTATAGGAAAATATTTTTTCTTTAGCAATATGTATGAAAATTGCTTAGCAAAATTAGCGTTATATGTTTTCTTGTACTTGATGCAATTAGTTAACTCTATTTAGTTTCTACTATTGACAATTATTGTTTTCCTACATATTAAACAAAAAAACATTTAATAGCAATCATATGTTTCCATCACTATATTTGAACATATGGACTACATACCAATTGATCACGATTAATTAAAATAAGATAAAACAATACGTATGACGAACATTCTATCTGTTTTCCTCCTTTGCAATGTTGCGTTGAGATGTATAAGGTTCTCGTGTTCTTCATACAAATCATACTCCTAATAACTTTCAGGTTTAATGGGGCCGGGGCCATACTTGATAGTTAGACTAGGAAGACTCGTTGCACCACTAGGATGAGGGCCGGGAAATGTGTATTATGTCACATACAACTTTACAAGCTACAATGGGGATGGAAGGGTCTCAATTGGATGTAAAACACTAAATTATAATTCACCTTATAGGAGTGATATTCCATTATTGTCATTGACAAAATTCTGATTCGATAGGAGGCAATATAAAATCCACCATGATCACCTTTTTCTCTTTCCTTAGACCAATGTTCTTCAAAGTTCAACATACCGATCCTTCACTTTTCTTCTATTAAATTTTGTAGCATTGCCAATACGACCTATAGATATGAATCACTTACAAGCATACCTCTCACCCGTTTTTTTTTTTTTATTTTTTTTTATTTTAGGAAAACCTCTCACCTAGTTGTTGTGTAACAAGAGTAGGTATATATAGATCTTGAGCAGTGCGAGAGATTGGGAAATGGGTTGAATAAACTTCCTTGGGCCCAGAAAAAATAACCGACAAGCTTTACTTAGATAGTTTTTTTAATTTCTTTGTTCTTAGTAACTGGAAAGTAGGGGCCCTATTGACTAGACGTCAACCACCCTTAATCAATATGCTTTCTACTATTTTAAAACAAATAGGAATTTAGGACCCCTCATTTCATAGCGCTTGGAGAACGCAAGGTTGATCGAGGACTGGAGAGGAAAGGTGGAAGATTTTTTTGAGGAAAATCTCACCTAGTTGTTGTGTACTTGTGTAACAAGAGTTGGTATATACAAGTGATGCAAAGTAATAGGGTTGTAGGCTATGGGTCACTTATTTATCACGAGGAGCATATCAAGAGACAACATTAATAGATCATAAGACAACCGTATAATTTTAATTCAAACATTAATGATCTTACGACTATATATATATATATATTTGTTCTTATAATTGATCAAAAATAGAATTCATGTACCTTCTATATAAAGGTTTAAGAAAATATATATTTATTTTGCAGGAGTCAAGAACGCGAACCATTATTTCAATAAACCCGTGTTTGTTGTTGTGGATTAAAGTATTCAGATTAGGCAAAGAATTATATCTTTGTTAAGCCCTTAATTTCTCTTTGTCAATCTCCTTTCTCAAGTATAGGAAGACTAAATTTGTGACTCCCTACGCGTATGAATCATGCGCTCTAAAATTTCTATTAAATGAATGTAGTTTGTATAGACTCGTTGCCAAATAAAGGGGAGTATGATAGATAACACCGGGAGTTCAGGAGTACGATGATCTTTCGTTCCCTAATTAAAATATCAAGTTAAGTCGATTATAATTAACTTTCATATATAACGTGACTGCATTAAATAAGAACACCCGATTGAAAGCAATTGCATCACAAGTTGTTGAGCACAACAATGTTTGACCTAATTAGTCAACTCAACAAAATACTTGATATCCTATTACATGATACAAATCGATGACTATTCAAATTAGCCAATCTAAAAACTTTAATATTCACTAAAATCAGCTTATTAATCACCTTTATAATTTAAATAAAATTCGAACATAAAAGAGTCTTACATACACATAATTATTAGAACTCCACAAATCATCCTTGGAAAAGGATTTTTATTTCTATTATTGTCTTTACACCAAAAAAAAAATTGAAGATGGAAATAGAGCCACGCAATCCTATAAAAGATTTTTACATTACGGCCCAAGAAACCGCCAAATACGCGAACTCAAAACAACAACCGCCTCATCGTTTTTATTTTCCCTTTTTTCCTCCATTTTTTGTTATTACCAAAAAATCTCTTTCTATTAATTTTCATTTTCTTTTTGTTTGGTGCGAAAATATTATTCTTTACACAACAACTTACTCAAACTCTCCCAGTCTTCAACGTTTTCTTCTCCTTCACCATTATCTCCTTTCTCTCTCCTCTGGTACTTCTCTTTCTCTCTCTAGTTCTTCATTTTTCTTGAATTAATTCAATTGATTTTTCTTGAATTAATTCAATTGAGATTCTAATTTTGCAGGTCTTAAGGAGGAGATTTTGATGAGATAGTGCTGAATTCCGAGTAATTTTGGTGGAAATTAGTGAAATTAGGAAGGTGATTTTGTACTGAAGGTTTAACAATGGCGGCTTCAGCTTCTGCTGTTCTTGGCGGCGTTTCGAAACTTCAAATTCGTAATAATTTTGGGGATGATTTTAATATTAGTTCAAAACATGTTGTTTCCGTTGGAATTTCTAGGTCTTCTTCTTCAATTAACCCTAGTTGTTCTCGGTTGAGCCTTCGTCGTCCCGTTCTTCGCCTTTCTAAGTGCAGGTATACCTGTTTTTAGCTTTCTTGAAGTATATTGTTCATTTTACTACTATTAGGTTGTGGCAGTAGCATCTTTGAATACTTTTACTTATGCAAATTGAACTAGGAGTATAATCTCGTGTTACGTGACGTTTACTGGAATGATTTGTTGTCGGCGGAATATCAATGCGTTGTTTCTTGTTAGTTTTGATATTAATGCTACGGTGTATGTAATTCTTGTTAAGAAACCTGTAAATTCTTGTGTATGCGAGCATAAATTCAAAGATATAACTTATATAGTAATGAGGTTTGAAGGCAGTAAAATGTGTAGTGTAATATATTTCGGTTTGGAGAACTTAGTATCAATTACATGACATGCTTAAATAAATGTATAAGTGTATGTACAGACTATTCATAGCTGAAGAGTGAAGTTAGGGCACTGTGATTCAGAATCTGTTGTTCCTTTTCTCTATTGCATATCTATGATCTGTAACTTAGAGTTGGAATAGAAAAAGGTGATCTCCAAATTCCACCAATTAGATATAATATTAAACCAGGTAAAAAAGTAGCCTGCAAAGTGGACAACCAAAGGTTCTTGTGTTTGGCTTGTTTTTGTTATCCAAGATGTAGTCCTCCCTAGGTTATGTACTGAATATACGTGGCCTGAGAGTTGAGAGTCAGACAACAACTTTGTATTAGATACAACTTTTGGAAGAGATTGAGCAAAAATGAGTGCTTGTTGTGACAAAAAAATTTGCGGATGGGCTAGGTGAATAGTCCATGTCAATGTCAAATAATGCCCTCTCTTCTTTTCTCTTCTTTTTCGAAATCGGCTTCTATTTGTCCTTGTCTCTTTCTTCTTCCTTTTTTGTGTTTTGTGTGTGTTGGGGGTGGGGGTTAAATATCTTACACAGCTTTCTTATTCTGATGTTATTAATTGTCTCATTTTGAATATTGTGAACTCTTGACATTATAACATGCTCTTGGAGTCCTTTGCACTGTGTAAGTTACTAAGGTTGTGTATTAGTTCATTATTTCTGACATTATACCTCTTTCTTCACTATCATATGGATGTAAGGTGGTCCAATGATGGTCGAACTGTTGTATCTAGATCGGTTAAGATGAGTAATACTATGTTGAGGCAGAAAGGTTTCATTCTTATGGAGCAGAGGCCTTTGGCAACTTCAACCAGAGATCAAGTGTACCTATGCTGCAACCACACCCGTTGCAGAAGGGGGTCATATGTGAAGAGTTTTAGTTCAAGGTTTTCAACAGACAAATCAACGTTTCCATTGTCAAAGAATGTGCCTGACATTGCATGTGTAAGTAAGCTTCTTCTAACTACTTTTACTTGATTAAATGCTTGGGAAACCTGTCATCTAAAGCAATACTTGAGGCTGTTGAGTATATTTAATATATATTGCATGTATGTGGAATTGTGGTGGTATGTAATATGCACTATTTTTGTGCTGCACTTGTTTGGAACTGGTTATTTATATAATCACAGAATAAATTAATTGAAGGGATTCCAAAATGTTAATCAGAAATGTGCACAAGGACCGTGGTTTCTGTATGGATTGTTTCATATCAATAGATGCTATTTTGTAAATTCTGGAACTTCAGCTTGGATTTTAGGTTCAATCGGAAACTTGCACAAGGATCGTGCTTTCCGTATTAATAGTTTCATATGAACAGATTCTATTTTGCAACCTTGGATTTTGGGTGCCATTGAGTGCTCATTGCAAGACATCAACTCCAACTAACCATAACTCACACTAGTTATGACTTCAAATGCTTTAATGGTTTTTTATTTTATTTTTTATTATTCATATATTAAATATGCAAAACAAAAGATACCTTTATCCATGGAGGGACTCCCCCCCTCTTCCCCGCCGGGCGCGGACCTTCTTTTAGTAACTATCATCTCATTTTGAGGTCCTAAAATGCTGTCAGAAAATTGCTATTTGAATCAACCGTAAACCAAATCTAATTCCATCTTGTCTTGTACGGACTTCAGGTTTCTTGGCTTTATAACTGAATTGACTGTCATCCTCCCTAGAAAAGTTTTCCTGTTTTTGACCAAGTGCATAGAGTTTCCTCATGAAAGCACTACTTATGTTATGTGAGTTGAATTTTTTTTGATTGCTGACCTGTATATTTCTAGTTGATTCTTTAGTTGCATCAATTTTATCATAATTATAATTATTTGGTGAGTTTCTTTTGTTGCTTTCAACTTGTGGTAAATCTTATGTCACCGAACAATTGTCCAACTACAAGATTTGCAAGGGATCCAATCCTCAAGTAACATTTGAGAAATAAGCTCTATGTGCTGGTTAATACTGTGCCACGCAGGCAATTGCTGAAATGTGGTTTAATTTAAGGATATAATGTATGAAACTGTTCCTCATTGCGTGTAAAATTTGCGTATTTTTAGTTGAAGCAACATCATGTTCGATGCTCGGCTGTTGGTCCAGATGAACCACATGCAGTTAGCACAAATTGCTCAGAGGGAACACTGGAGAAACCAGGTTTGGAATTTCTGGATCCTGAAGTAAGAAGAGTGGAGGTAGAGGAAGCTTTGAATTCTGAACTTCCATCTCACCCCAAGCTATACCGAGGACAATTAAAAAATGGACTTCGCTACATAATTTTGCCCAATAAAGTTCCACCAAACAGGTATCTGTTACCTATATCATAAGCCCCCCTTTCCCAATTCATGTTTTTAAAATGCATGTCTTGCGGTGGGTTGTGGATAATCTTTAAAGTTACAATTCTGGATTGTATTTAATCAAATGGGGTGGTTGCTATTGCTTTCAAATGGGGATTTGGAAGAGGTGCTCAAGTGTGGCTCTAGGCCTAAGGCCTTCACATAGACTGGACTCTGGAGACAACATCTAAGTGCTAACACTCTTGCATGCATTTATAAAACTTTGCTTTGCTCAATTATGGTAGTAGGTGGCATAGCAAATAGGCAACTTACGACTTATTATTTAAAAGGTTCCATTATTGCTCCTTTTTCTTTTTTTTGGGGCAAGTTGCTTCTATAACAGTGATTATGGAAGCTTTTTTTTTTTTTGGGTGTGTGTGTGTGGCCTGAACAAACCTGATATGGGTTGTAGATGGAGTCCTGTCAATATTACAATTTACTAGTCATCTATTTCCACACACTTCGTCTTTTTCCCTTTAATGGCAGTTGTTCTAAGTTTGATGCTGGTGTAATGGGTCCCATCTTGTAGACTAAGAACACACCAGTGCTTAATGTTGAATCATGACAACACAATAAGCCTTAGCCCTGTTCTACTTTATAAACCTGCAGTTCTAATGTTATCATCCTGATTACAGGTTTGAAGCACATATGGAAGTTCACGTTGGGTCTATTGATGAGGAGGATGACGAGCAGGGGATTGCACATATGATAGAACATGTTGCATTTCTTGGAAGTAAGAAGCGTGAGAAGTTGCTTGGTACTGGAGCAAGGTCTAATGCTTACACAGACTTCCACCACACAGTCTTTCATATACATTCTCCAACTCATGCAAAGGTTTGTTGCTTTGGTCTCAGACATTGTTGCTTGATTGTGGCATGATAAAATGTAAGGGTTTTTCAGCTCTTGATCTGATTGATATCACAGATTTTATGCACTTTGATGCTTTCCCTGTAGAGGTATTTTTGTTTGACTGCATGCAATAACACAAATTTTATGCACTTTGGTGATTTCCCTGTAGAGGTATTCTTGTTTGGCTGCATGTAATTAGAGAAGCTGTCCAATTACGTGAGGAAATAAGCAAAGCTGTCCAATTACATGTGTAAAATAGAGGTGTCAAATTACATGCGGAAATTTATGTTTGTTTCGGGGTATTGCCAAGTTCAATGCTTATGCACCATTTCACATAGATTCATTAATACTTTCTGTAAATGTTCAAAGATAGCAAAATAAGTACCACCATCATTTTACCTCTGCTGAAATTTGCTGATTAGTTTCCTCCTATCCCGTTTCCTTTTACTGGCCTAGGTTCTGACTTTGGGTGTGGTTCAGATTTAACACACTTAAGAGTTTTTTTTGCCTATATTATTAGGCGTAGCTGAATTTTTATGGAGTTCTGCTGTAATAATGGCGGCAAACTTTTGTTGGTGTGTGGCAAGAGTAAGTACATGTCTATACAGTTAGCCTTATTAAGTGCCTCCAACTTGGAGGGTGTGTGAGTGTGTGACAAAAATCACATTGCAATAACCTAGTGACTATTTTAAGTGATTGGTTAAGAGCATATTCAGTTAGACTGGCGTTTCCATGAGCACACTGGGTTACGCTACCTTATTAAATTGCTAAATTATCAAACACTTACCACATATGCTATATGCTCATTGCTATTGGCCAAATCTGGCCCCTATTACATTAATATGCACATATGTATACACACTAACTATATGTTTGTGGTGTTTGTTAGGACTCTGATGGCGATTTACTCCCTTTTGTACTTGATGCTTTAAACGAGGTAAATTATTGGCATTATGGCACATTTGCCTACATTTATAATGTTTTTTTTTCCCCTTCAAGTGTTCTTATTGATAGATTAAGTAAGGTATGATGTCTTTCATGCAGATAGCTTTCCACCCTAAATTTCTTGCATCAAGGGTTGAAAAGGAAAGGCGTGCAATATTGTCTGAACTCCAGATGATGAATACTATAGAATATCGTGTTGATTGCCAGGTGTGTTAAGTGTGGTGCCTTATGCTTAGATGCTTTTTGTTTGTATGTGCTGGTAGTTCTTTTTAAATTCTTGAGTGTAATTTCATTTCATTTTATCCAGCTTCTACAACATTTGCATTCTGAGAACAAATTGAGCAGAAGGTTTCCTATAGGTTTAGAGGAGCAGATCAAGAAGTGGGATGTTGATAAAATTAAAAAATTCCATGAGCGCTGGTATTTTCCAGCAAACGCTACTTTGTATATTGTTGGGGATATCGATAACATCTCGAAAACAATTTACCAAATTGAGGTGAGAGGGTAACATCTCTTGTGTTTTTGTTTCTCTTTCAGACTATGGGTTTCATGTCACTCTGTGATTAAAATGTAGGCTGTATTTAGCCAGACTGGCTTGGAGAATGAGACAGAGGCTTCCCCACCTCCAACGCCTAATGCATTTGGTGCGATGGCTAGTTTCCTAGTGCCTAAGCTCTCAGTTGGCCTTGGAGGAGCTTCTCAAGATAAGTCATCAAGTTCTGATCAGCCAATAATTACTAAAAAGGAAAGACATGCAGTACGTCCTCCTGTCCAGCACAATTGGTCTCTACCTGGAAGCGGTTGCGTATCTGATCCTCCTCAGATATTTCAACACGAGTTACTTCAGAATTTTTCATTTAATATGTTTTGCAAGGTATTGAAAACATATTGTCTGCCAATTAATGTTTTAAGACTAATGTGAATTGCCTGTGTGCTTCTTTCTGAGTACCTTGCCTTTATGGTTCTTTCTATGTTCCTTTTATATCATATAATATCCTTCAGCAGTCTGATAACTAATGCCTTGGCATTAAACTCAAACTGTTCCACCCAGTTGGTAATTGATAACAGCACATGTGTCTGAACGATAGACTTAGTACCTATCTCCATAGCCGCTGGAGTCTCTTGGCATAAAGGTCAAAGCTGAACCAGCAATTATTTCATATCTTGTTCAAATCTCTAGAGAGTGAAGAGTGGGAGGGAAATTTTAATATGTTAGAATAATATGAACATTAGTTTGAACTTAACTTTATTCATTAGACCTTATTAATGGGCTAGGTAAACCAATGGTGTAGGGTTAATTGGACAGGCCTTCAATGGAAAAGGCTTTTAGTTGTCAGGGTCAATAGCCCAATACTTTTGTATAAGATAATAGTTATGATATATATTTTTTTTAAATTTACCTGTATAGTTTCATATGCACTACTTCACTAGTACTTTTATCTGTCTCATTACTCAATTTCCTTGCTTGTTAATTTTTCCGCCCATTATTAACATGCAAACTGTTCTAATATAACCCATTTTGACTCTTTACAAGTTGACCTGTTGTTGACTTGCACCGACACTGATCCAACTCTACTTGAGGTCTATTCTACATCACCTTAAAGTTGGCAAATGTGATTGCTTTTTGCTAAGAATTTGTTGAGGTGGTGTTTGCTTAATTATGGAGAATAGACCAACTTTTTATTTTATATAATTTATTAAGCTGCATTTTTGCGCTTTCAGTCGTCTTTTTTGGATGAAAAATGGAAAGCTTATTTGAATGAAAAACTTTTGTTAGCTTCTAATACCTATTTCCAGACTTCCTATTTTTTCTCACTTACACACTATTGTTATGTTGCAGGTTCCCGTGAATAAAGTTCAGACGTATGGCGATTTACGAAATGTACTGATGAAGAGGATCGTTCTTTCTGCCTTGCATTTCAGGATTAACACTCGATACAAGGTGCATTAATCTAAATATTCTGCTGTTTCACTGTTTGATGTCTCACTCTTATGAATCAATTCCTGTGGTTTTAATGTTGTCATTTGCTGAGAATTTTTTTTTTATATTTGAAAATTTTGTGCTATTATGACTGTGCTACAAAAAGATGCGTGTGAGCTCTTTAATCTTTATGGTACCGATTCAGTGCATTTGCAGTGCTCTTTGACTTCATCATTACCGCATAGGGTGCCACATTAAACTCTAGGCGGAGCAAATGAGCAATGCGTCTTTGATCAAGTTTCTAGTGCTTCAAAGTTTATGGAATTGTTTTAGAGTTAGAAAGGATTTGATTTGTTACTGGTTATGTCAAATGTATTCTTTACTTTAAAATTGAAATCAACCTTTTGCTTATGCGTTTTGTACTATACTAATCTTTGGGTTTTGTCATTTTTTTTTTGTTTTGCTTTGTTTTTCTGACTGTATCTAGTCAATGTCCTTTCAGATTATTCTTGGCTATTGTTTGTACATTAGTGTAGCCTTTGGAAAGGTTGCTTTTGGCTTTTCATTACTTTGTTTCTCCCCTCATATTATCATTGGAAATGTACAGAGTTCGAATCCCCCTTTCACCGCAATTGAATTGGACCACAGTGATTCTGGAAGAGAAGGTTGCACTGTAACTACTCTTACAGTTACTGCAGAACCTAAAAATTGGCAAAATGCAATCAAAGTTGCAGTTCAGGAGGTTTGAGTTCTGTTATTCAAGTTTGACTGTGCAACCATATTCTTCAAAATAATTTCAAGTTGTGGATCAGTAGTATTTTCATTCTGGTTGCAGGTCCGAAGGCTTAAGGAATTTGGTGTGACTAAGGGTGAATTAGTTCGCTATAGGGATGCTTTGTTGAAAGACAGTGAACATTTGGCTGCAATGATTGATAATGTGCCATCTGTGGACAATCTGGATTTTATTATGGAAAGTGATGCATTAGGACACAAAGTGATGGACCAACTACAAGGTCATGAGTGTTTGGTTGGTGTTGCTGGAACAATTACCCTTGAAGAGGTATCCTTACGTTTTATCTCCTAATTCGCTAATCCCCCTTCAAATTACAAACTGAATTGTGCAAATTAATACGTGGCACACTTTAACAGCAGTTTAACAAAATTAAGCAATGTCTTTTATACCCAATTTGTTTCTGATCTGCTGGTCCTTTATGTTTATTTCCATGCACTTGTCAATATTGATACATGAGGAATGTAGTTGAGTTGTATTGAGTTGGATAACTTTACAAATGATGAACTTTGCGAGAAATCTCACAGGGTTGTAAGTTGGCCATCTTGGGAATGAATAACAAATAATGAATAGCAAATGGATTTTTGGTTTACTGGATTTCAAATTGTGCTTATGGGATTAAGGCTTTGATTGATTGATTGATTAATTTTCAAATTGTGGGGCAGTTGGAACCTATAAGGTAGGGTAGGTGTTGAAGAATGGTGCAGAGCCTCCTTTATTTCGGGCCATATAAAATTTTCTTCCGTACTTTCATTTTGGGTTGTATACTTAAATATTTTTTTCATATCAATCCCTTTTCCTTTTCCATCCTAATTTGTTCTCTTACTCTTCATCTCGCTTATCTATATTATCATTATATTTTTTTATTTAACTACTCTTAGATTTCATGCCCAAGCCACATGTGAAAATAGTTTGGGGAAGGTGGGAGGTTATTGTCACAAATGGGGAAAAATTGATAGAGGTCGCTAAATGAGAAACAAAGGAGCCATCCTTTGACATCATTGTCAGGACTTGTCCTTTTTGTGTGTGTGTGTGTGGGGGGGGGGGGGTGGCTGGGCGCCTCACAGTCACAGGTATAGCCTCTAGAGCAGGTACGAGGCATGTACCTCATTGAAGTGACACACAGCTAATCAAAATTAAATATTTTGATGGATAAACGGCAGTTATTGAGCACTTTGGGTGTGCCTCCCCTGCTTCCTTTTTAAATCACCTTTCATATCCCAATGAAGCGTTGGATCCTTATCTCTTGACCTTCATTGCCTAGGCACTCTTTTCTATACACTGTTACTTTTAGGCCGTACAGCTACTGTCAAAGCAGGTGACCTTGGATTTGGTAATCCTTGAGGCTCAATTCTTATTTGAAATTCGTGAATTAAGCTTATAGGCTTATAAAGCCTATCGTTATCTTGCGATAGTGAGTTACAGCTGTTGGATTTGGTTTACCTGTATAATGGTGATGTCCCTGAAAAACTGCAACAGGTAAGGAACTCTTTATCTTATCTTTTTATCATGTGACTTTGGGACAGCCCTGTCAAATAGCCTCTGAAATGGACTCGCAAATAAGCATGCGAATAAGGGGACCTCAGGAACATCTTATAAAACTCCATTTGATGTATGGGTTTGCTGTGGCTGATCTTGGATTCTTTAGTTGCATATGTGTAATTAAATGAACTATCTAAAAGACCAAAGTCCAAATTGACTGCCTATTGTTATGGTTTTGCCTTATATATTTGGTTACATAATTCAAATTGACATCTAGTTGAAACGGAAAATTTCAACATTAAAATAATAGCAAGTGTATTACTATTAGTATAGTAAGTAAAATAATATGTGATTCAAATTTGACTTACAAATTATACTGATTTTTGTCCATGGATGTGGCTTTTAGTTGAATTTCATCTGAATGCATTATGCGTCTCAGGGTTCCAACTGTATTTTATAAAAGTTTCTGAATATCCTGAGGTCTAACTTTTGAAGTTATATCTTATATGCAACTCTTGTTCCTAGAGTGTTGTTGCTTTCGCTGTGGGTATGCAGTATTAGTTCTTTCCCATAGCCGTGGAGGGGTACTTCATGATTAGATGTTATGTTTTTTTTTTTTTTTTGGTCTATTCTGCAAGCATGTTTAAAAGAAGTGTCTAGAAGAAGGTATGGTATTCCAGTATATCTGTATCTCAACAAAAATTGAGGGATGGTTGGAGTAATATTGTAAGATTATGCCAGTTCTGTGGGTGCTTGTTAATTCTTTTGCTTCATTTAATAAGGAGATGGTTCAGTTACACAACATGAGGCTTTTATCCTATCCTTTGATATTTCCAAGATTTTGTAATAAATTTAAGACCTCCATAGACTAATTTGTGCTGTTGTTTTTAGGTCAATTCAATTGGTGCTGAAGTGCTGGAATTTATTGCTGATTTTGGAAAACCAACTGCCCCTGCTCCTGCAGCAATTGTAGCTTGTGTTCCTAAAAAAGTGCATATTGATGGAGTTGGTGAAACTGAATTTAAGATATCACCAAGTGAAGTATCTGAAGCTATAAAATCAGGATTGAAGGAACCCATTGAGGCAGAACCAGAGGTGCAATCCTTAAAACCATATTTCGTTTTTTTTGTAACTCAACATGTGATGTCTATAAATTAAATTGCTATCTTGATTCAATTGTTGTTTCTGTATTTTTTTTTATTGTATTTTTTATTTATTTATTTATTTTTCTTTTTTTCCCAGCTTGAGGTGCCAAAAGATCTCATAACTTCTTCACAGTTGCAAGAATTAAAATTGCTACGCAACCCATCATTTGCACCATTGGACGCAGCAGATAGCACTAAATTATATGACAGAGAGACAGGAATCACTCAGCGCCGTCTTTTAAACGGTATTCCTGTAAATTACAAGGTATAACTTTGCCATGTCATGATTCATTTTGAGCATGATTCTGCCAAGCACAGACTTTTGTATAGCATTTGTGTAATCTCCAAGACACTACAAGCATCTTGATATAATGGGCCTTTTAGGTATACGGCTTTTGTAGGTCATTTGGATGTGTACATCAGTACATGAGATCTAGACTCCATATTACATAGGTTTTGTTAATGTTGCCTTTTCGTTGGCCTGGACATTCCCAAATTACTCAATTTGGAAGATGCAAGTAGTTCTGAATTTCTGTCTGTTTGTAATGTTATCCTGTCTTCTTGATGCACTTTTACTTGTGTAGATTTGATCAAATATAATTTCTTATAGAAAAATATATTGCCTTAAAGAAAGCAGGTTTCTTTGTATGACAGTTTTTTTCCATAGCATCTCGTAGACACTATATAGTGAACCGTGCTCCTTTTTCAAATTCTTGAAGCTCCAAAGAATTGGCTTACCTTCTTGAGAATAGGGAAACTTCTGGTTGCCTAGTGTCATACTCATTCTAAAGTACAGGTTATTAGGATTTTTTATCACCTGCTTGAAATGTTAGGAAAATAATATATAGAAATGAAAAAGAAATATCAGAATGGAAGAATAAAATTAAATAGAACAATAGTTGCATTCTCTAAGGGAACTCATAATTTCAAGTTGTTTAGTGAGAGAGGAGTTTGCATGCTTTAATTTCTTTTCTCATCTTCGCATTACCCTGCTTTCGCTCTGTTTGATTGATAGCCTTTTGCATTTGCTGATGTTGTTTTTACTTTCTCACTTACATGTGCTTGAATTCAATGTCATTGCAGATCTCCAGACATGAAAGCCAGAGTGGTGTCATGCGGCTCATAGTTGGTGGTGGACGGGCCATGGAAAGCTCAGATGAAAAGGGGTCTGTTGTTGTTGGTGTTCGGACTCTCAGTGAGGGTGGCCGTGTTGGCAACTTCTCTAGAGAGCAGGTAGTGTCCATCTATCTTTGGTTCAGTTTAATCCTTGTAAGACATTGATATTTCTGGGTATTGCATGTTCGCTGTGGTTTTATGTTGCTTATACTTTGCTAGTAAACTTTGCTGTCTAATATTCCTCTTAAATCTGAATAAGTAGGGGATATGTATTGTAGTAAGACAGAAAAATATGCACTTTTAGCCCCACTTCTTTTACAAGAACTTCAAAATTTTCAGTTAACCTTTAGTTATTGACTATTGTATCAATCAAGCATTTTAGGGGGATTTTTAGGCCATATTAAATTGTCCCATTAACATTGCTTCATCAATAAGAATGTTATCTAATGTTTACAATCTTGTGGCAGGTAGAGCTCTTCTGTGTGAATCATCTGATAAATTGCTCTCTGGAATCTACTGAGGAGTTTATATGCATGGAATTCCGTTTTACATTGAGAGACAATGGAATGCGTGCTGCCTTCCAGTTGCTACACATGGTTCTTGAGGTACTTGTTATAGTTCTTGCTTTTCCAATCAATTGGCTTGTTCTATGTAGTTTATTGCCTGGTTTAAAGGTTGCTTTTCTGGGAGCATTTAACTTGCTTTGAAAATGAATGATTTAGTTCATCTATTCTTGATTGATTTGGGAAATGCTGTGTTTTTCTAGAATTATTCAGGCCTTGTTGTGAGCTGGATCATACTGGTATGGTGGTGGTTGTGCTGTAGGTGGCTTTTCCTTTAGTTGTCTATCCACTGGCCTGATTCGACCAGTCTTGCTTTCATGACTAGTTATCTCCAAGCCATTTGGTTGTCAAAAACGTAGGATGAATTATTGGTAGCAACCAGTTCTATTGGAGATAGTAGCATTTGACCAATCTATAGAATGAGGAATAGCTCTTTATTTTTTATTATTAATTAAAGTGTAAAATTCAAGGTATTGTACTTTGTATGTCATGTTGATTATTCTTCTAAGTAACCTGCCTTAGTAAAATTCCAATATTTAACTAGGTTCCTAAGTAAGATGCAATGTGGCTAGGAATCAGACAGGGCTGGATGAAGGCTATACTCTATTGCCTATAGATCCAGCTCTTAGCAGTTAAAGCCAGAAGAAAAGGCCTAGTATCCAGTAGATAAACTTTGTTACTAGAAATCTGCCTGCCAACTCAGTCATTAGGCTGCTATACTGCTTCTGATTTCTACAATGCCACTCATTTTTCTGTCACTGTTAATAACCTTGTTGACATGCAGCATAGCGTCTGGCTGGATGATGCGTTTGATAGAGCAAGACAGTTATACATGTCTTATTATCGGTCAATTCCTAAAAGTTTGGAGCGTTCGACAGCACATAAACTTATGATAGCAATGTTGAATGGAGATGAACGGTTTGTTGAGCCTACACCAGAATCATTGCAGAATTTAACATTACAGTCAGTGAAAGAGGCTGTAATGAATCAGTTTGTTGGTGATAATATGGAGGTAACCTCTCTCTTGGCATAAAATCTGAGTACAAAGTGTCTGAAACATTCTTAAAAGTGTGCCCTTTTCCCTCAAATAATCAGGTCAGTATTGTTGGAGACTTCTCAGAAGAAGAGATTGAATCTTGTATTCTTGATTACCTTGGTACGGTTAAAGCTACTCATGAATTTGAGAAGAAGATTTGTGATGCTATTATTTTTCGTCCACCATCCGATATGCAATTTCAGCAGGTTAGATAAAATCTGTCAATTTTGATAAACTTGTACCCCGGTTTTAAGACAGTAGTGCTGCAATCAAAGTTTTTCTTGTTTGTTTCGAAGTTTGGTGTAGTCGTACATGCATTATCCTTAACAATAGATTGTCTTGGTCACTGAACTGAATTTCTATCATATTTGCAGGTTTACATAAAAGACACAGATGAAAGAGCTTGTGCCTATATTGCTGGTCCTGCACCAAATAGATGGGGCATCACAGTTGATAATGTTGATCTTTTTGAAAACCTGGGTAAGTCCTTTTTTGTTGGTCTTTGTGCTTAAGTGTTGACTTTGTTTCCTGTCATTCACTTGGTTGGAATCTACAATGGCAAGAACTCTGTTACAATTCTTACAAAGATGTTTAATGGGTGCTCTAATTAGTTCTATATTGCTCTTAATAGCTTTTACCTGTAGTCTATCCTGAAACACTGTTGAATCTTTGATTTCTGTAACCAGCACTGTTTTACCTTTTCATGATTCTAACCTGTCAACTACTCTCTTCGTCTCTGATTAGTTTTGATACTTATATAAGTATCAAAACTTCTCTTTGATCTGTGATTTCTGTAACCCCCTCTGTTTTACCTTTTCATGATTCATAACCTGTCAATCACTCTCTTCATCTCTGATTAGCTTTGTTACTATCATGGCTTATTGTTTTATGTGATTATTTGTTTGATTATCAATTGTAATATTATTGAATAATTTGATGTGAAAGGACATAGTAGGGTAATATGTTATCAAATAATAGATGTCGTAGGAGTTAGTGACTTTTTAGTAGCAGGAATAGAAATGTTTTTAAATAAACTAGGGATTTTTGTGTCTTCCCTAAAATAGAAAGAAGTAAAAACTCATCTGGGAAAGAGGAAGTAATATAGTTTTGACCTACAATCTCATAATCGTCAAGTATGGATCTTGTCATTTGACTGGTCAACTGTCAAATGAGTGGTACGTAGCCATCAGCATCAACATTTCTCCAATGCCTCTAAAGAAGGTCATGCCTTAGCCCTTAAGTGGTCTCTCTCTCTCTCTCTCTCTCTCTCTCTGGGGGTGGGGATATTGGATATTGAACATACACAGCCTTATCCCTGCTCTTACTTGATCCTGAATTTCATATGTAAGAACTGTTTACACTCTACAGTAAATTGGAAACGTAGATAGTTTAACGTTCCATTTTCTAGTTGTAAATGTTTTGACTCCAGTGGAAACAAGCGTAGTGTAGATCGAAGTAGTTGGTATTGATTTTGTATTTGATATACCAGTATAGATTTTATAGCTGCCCTTTGAGATGGTGTCAATTTCTACATGGCGATCATCAAATGGAACTTAACTATATGGTGCATTTTCTGCTCTGGTCACCTTGAAATGTTAAGAGCCATGAATTGATTTTTTTATTGAAGATTCGTGCAAATTTTACTTTGGAATTATGAAAGTTTGTCCTGATGTGTACATCTTTCTTGGTTGACTATCATTTTTGTCCTTTCGATAAATATCTATATTACTTACTCAGAGAGGTTTTTTATATCATCCTTGACCTGCTTGTAGGCGAGCTATCAAAATCTGAGACATTGCCATCTGACAACTCCAATGATGTAAAGGAGCTGCAGAGCAAAATGCGGGACCATCCACTCTTCTTTGGCATAACAATGGGGCTGCTAGCAGAGATTATAAATTCCAGGTAACTTTCTGGATAGGATCTTCAATCATTGCTCATAAGATAGTATGTTTGTCTTTCTGGCTAAAGTTAACATTAGCTGTTGCAGATGTTAGTTTATCGTGATTGCTTTGGCTCATATACTTTGTCTGTAATAATTCTTCTGAAAGTGGGGCTAATTGATGTTTCTCAGCCGCTTGCTAGAAGACACTTATTTGCTGTAGCTATTGCTATAAATAAAGTTTGGTTTTGTAAAATCTGCTGAGAGCTAGATGCTTTACCAAGAGTCAATCTAATCGCAGCCACCTCCGCCTTAGGAACAGGGGGCTGGGATTATGTTATTTTTATATTTTATATTAATATCAGTATGGCTATGCTGCTCTGCAGACCCTCCATACCTTGCACTAGGTGCACACCACGTGAGGACAAGGCCAATTTCTGGCTCCCTGATTTCCTTCTCACTCTTCTGGTGTTATTTATTTATTCATTTTTTTTTTTTTTTTGGGAGGGGGGGGGGGTTAAGGGGTTTCTGTAGTTTTGAGTGCACAACTCTAATTTGCATCACCATCATTTTGAGCGTTTGGTTACCTTTTACAGGCTTTTCACAACAGTAAGGGATTCTCTGGGTTTGACATACGACGTGTCTTTCGAATTGAATTTATTTGATAGGCTAAATTTCGGGTGGTATGTGATCTCTGTGACATCAACTCCTGGAAAGGTGTGGACTTAATTCAGACAATGCATCCTTTTTCATAGAGGCTTTTTTTTGGACTTCTTTAATAAAACATATTTTCAGGTACATAAAGCTGTTGACGCTTGCAAGAATGTGCTCAGGGGGTTGCATAGCAACAGAATAGCTCCAAGGGAGCTGGACAGGGTTAGTATTTTTGCAAACTTGATGTTAACTTGAATTTTTTTTTTGGAATTTTCTTTTCATTGGGTTGGGGTTGTATCAAAGAAAGCAGGCAGAGATGTACAATGGAAAATTAGTGAGGGAAAGGGCTGGTCCCTAAAGTATATTCAATTATTTGTCTTCAGTTTATAATAATTACACTGGGATCATTTTTCGTTTTGTTGCAAGCCATAATTCTCATTCAGATAGTTTCATTAATTCCATTGAAACACTCTCAGATGATGTTTCCACCACCACTATCATTGCCATTGATTACTTCTGATTATAGATGTATAAAGCTAGATTCTGTTTTATGTATCAAATTAGTGGCTAATAACTAATAAATAATCAAATACATGAAATAGTTGGAAAAAGGTGTTCGGCTGCATTCTCAGAGTAGAAGGGGTAAAAGAATGTTGTCTTTTTGTCCCATTATTCCCTTTCATTTGCTTATGTGCGTCTGTGGGTCATGTCTGTTCCGCTGATGTGTCTTTGTTGGTATTGGACTGCTGCCGTTGGCCTTATTATCAATGTCTACTTAAATCCATATAATGAACTTGATTTACAGGCAAAGAGGACCTTATTGATGAAACATGAAGCTGAGATCAAATCAAATGCGTACTGGCTTGGGTTGTTGGCTCATTTGCAAGCATCTTCTGTCCCAAGGAAGGTAAAATGCCTATACTTACCATTCTGCATCCCTCCACTTCAGTGTATAGAGTAATTTGTTTTTGTTTCCTTATGCTGGTCCCTTGAAAATCTGATATAACTTGATATCTTCTGTTTCCCTCCCATCTGATATACATTCAGGGCTTATCATGCATAAAAGATCTGACCTCCCTCTACGAGGCTGCCACTATAGAGGATGTATATGTTGCCTACGAGCAATTGAAGGTGGATGAGAATTCCTTGTATTCATGTATTGGTATTGCTGGAGCACAGGCTGGAGAAGAAATTTCAGGTGGATAATACTTTATTTTTATTTTTAATTTAATGATCTATCTTCTTGATGAGTGGAAAAAGGGAGGGGGGGGGGGGGGGGGCGGGGGTGAGTGGGTGTAGTTGTCAGGAATGTTAATAATCTGTTGACATCCATGATATTAAAGGCTGTCAACGCAAACATAGAAATTATTGTTGTCATTGATCTATGTAAATATGCTATCTCTCTTATTATAATGATTGGTTTGGTGTAGTTTTGATAACTCATTAAGAATTTTTTAAATACATAGATGCAGCACCTTTATTAAATGATGAAGAGTCGGTTGGAGGGCTTCCAGGAGGTTTGCCTATCGGGGGGCGTGGGCTATCAACGATGACACGGCCAACTACATGAAGCCAGTCAATTAGTTGATTTGAGCTATAAAAGGTCTGTTGGCCCTACTTTGGTATAGGTACTTTTCTGGCCTTCTTATCAATTATATGCAAACTGGTTTACATACCTTTATGATTTTCTCCACACCTTGTTTTCCAGTCATATATTCAAATTACCTATCTCCCTGTTGTGAATTTGCTACTTGACTGTTTTCCAGTTACATTTGAATTGACTGAGTGAACTTTCCACTCAGTGCATTCAGTAACTTGTGGCTTTCTGCTATGTGGTTGTGGCCTTTTGGATCATTTAAAACAAAATGACCTTTAATTGTTTTTCTCTTTAGTTTTTTGCCCCTGGAGAATTTTTGAGAGGATCTCTATTTGATGCTCGCATTGAACTGTAGATTATGTCAATCTTTAATTTTTTGTCGTGGCTGAATGACATGCTTGATCGCTGGGAAGTGTTATGGTGGCAGAGCTGAGCCTTAAATTTTTATTTTTTACGATTTACCCATATACTCTTAGTATGTTTTTGTTCACTTGGGGGGTGTTAATGTGTTGTATACTCTTGAGAAAAAATATCAGGGAAAACACTGGTATTTCATATCTGACCATGTATATTATTTTGATACGTGCATAGCCAAACTATTATGTTGATACATGCATAGCTCTAATACTTCTTAATATGTATGCCAGGTTAAATGGTGTTCTATCAAGTGGATAATTGCATATCTACTGATTGCTGTCAAAGGATCGGTTGCTCACTCAAAATTAACTTCAATGGGAACCATTTGAAGGAGACAGACATTCATGGTGCCTAAGTGCAATTGAACCAATATTGTCGGACTGGCTCCAATTAACTTTCCTCGAACTCTCCAATAAAAATATACAAGAATTTGAAGGAACTAGATTGTTTAGTTGATCATACAGTAGGCTTTTCATTAGGTACTATAGTCAACAGTACAACCCCTTGTAATGTTTGTAATTTTTTGTATTAATTGTCCCCTGATTATTTTTTGTTAGTAATGTCTCCAAGAATTGGGCCAAAGAATAATCATAATAGAAACATTCATGTAATGATTTTTTCTTGTGTATATTCAACATGATTTTTCCTCGACCAGTTGCCCTTTGTCATTTGCAGGATTTTTTTTTTACCTTTCATGGCAGGTGTGGTAATGCGTTTGTTCCTTCTCCGGCGCATTGTATTTGAAAGTTTTGCAATCTTCTGTTCAAATGCAGCCACCCAACTCCACCATATACAACGTTTATTTTACCCCGAAGTGTGGTGGGAAAGGGCAAATGACGGGAATAGGGAGGATATTGACATCAGGTCTTGTGGTTGTCCAAGGGAATGTGAAAATGACTATATTACAAGGAATATTACGTCTTTTCAGTTGTTCAATACGCCCCACTACCACGAGACTAGATATTTACTAGACCTGGTAAACATGTCGTGTTCGTTTTCGTGTCGGAAATTAAACGGTTGGGGAAGGTCAATGCTAACCCGACCCATTTAATAAACGTGTCGTGTTTTGTTTGACCCTATTAATTAATCGCGTCGAAAACCTTTAACTAGACCCACTTTTTTCGTGTTTGATTCGTATCGTGTTGTCGTGTTGAATTGAAAAATATTGGTCTTATTCAATATATTTATCAATAATTCCATAAATTATTGGGTTTTTATATTAGGTGGGTTGGGTCGTATTAGTTTCGTGTTGAGAAGCTCAACACTAACCCAATTTGTTTAATTAAATGTGTCGTGTCGACCCGTTTAATTAAACGTGTCGAAAACCCTTGACACTAACCTATTTTTCCCAGGTTCGTGTCGTGTTGTCGTGTCAATTTTTGTCAGCTCTAATATTTACCTAGCTTATCGGTAAGGCTTTGTCTTTCAACTGTGGAGTTGTTTATGATCAAATAAAGTCTCAGTTGCAGAGAGCGATTTGTGACAGCGCTTCTTCAAGTCCTTTGCTCAACTAACGGCTGTCGGCTGTAGCCTATGAAGTAGAAAAGTTATGCTTCGATAATTCAACACATGCAACTTCTATACCATCTCTGCATTCTCCAAATAAGCTTTAAGATACCGGCAAATTATGAACCAAATATTACAAGTAAAAACCTTAAATATATAGGGACTTTCATAAAATTTTCTTTTTTTTTGTAGCTGCCAAAGTGTGTTGGAACTTTTCAAGAAGTGATTCCGTTACTACTAAAATTTACACCTTCGAAACAAAACTAATTTTGCCTTCTTGATGAATAGCTAAAACACATCTAAAACGAAATTATACATAGCCGATCACTTTTGTAAGTACACTTCTCTTTATCTGAAAAGTAGCCAGGGAAAAATGGATAACACATTACATTGGTCAAAAATTCTGTAATCAGAAAAAAAAAAAGCAGGGGTAGATAGAATAAATGGTAATATACGAGTATAGCACCCAGATCAATTAACAAAATGCAATTACCCATTTTGGCTTGCAAGATTTGTCTTACTGAACAAATTACTCTCTCCTTTCTGAGGGAGAGCATTTCAAAGCTACATATATGGTCAACGCAGATCCCTTGTGAAGCGGAAAATTTGTCTTACTGAACAAATTACTTCTACTTTCTGAGGGAGAGCAGTTCAAAGCTACGGATATGATCATCACGGATCCCTCGTGAAGCAGAAGCTCGTGTTCGTGAAGTTGGCCTAGACTCTATTCCCTGGTGAAGCCTCTGTACATTTGAGGAATGGCGGTGGGTCCCGTTAGAAGCAAGTCGACCTGCACGATTCTCCCCAAGGTCACTAGAGGAGGTTGGTCTATTACTTGTGACAGCAGTGGCTCTTCGAGTAGTGCTGCTAACTCGGGAAATGTTTATCTTCTCAGAATCTCTTTGCTAAGATTTGTAACATCAATGTTAGAATATTAAAGAAACAATGATTTTGCAGCATGGAGGAAGATGTTCATCACAGAATAAAATGAAATCTTCTATGTGACAAGGTCTGTTGTAGTAAATTGTACTTGAAAATAAAACCTGTAAGTCTGCAACAGTACTTTGTATCTACCACAAATGGAGCAGAGTGGATATAATTGGAAGGTTGCATGAACAAGAAAGGTTAGGAAATCAGGTCTATTAAGAAGGAAGCTAGGAAACCATGAGAACTCTATACATCACCAAGAAAGGCCAGAATAATTTTCAAGTAGCTTAAAAGAGGCCAAAAATAAATAAGTAATTAATAAGCAAAAAAAGTTTGAATAAAAAATAACAGTGTCATATTGCCAGCAATTAGTATTGAATATAAACCAATGATTACATGTAAAAGAGTTACTAGTGATTTACCATGTCTCGGGATGTAGCTACATCTTGTGAGCTTCTTTGCTTGGACTGATCACCAGAACCTATAGTATTTCGGCGGGAAATGGCTTCTACTGCACCACTAAGTCTATCACGAAGCTCACGACCCACTAAACGACATATTATGAGCTGAGTATCAGCAATCAAAATATAAAGGAGAAGGATGGCTAAATACCAGTCTGCCAAAATTACTACGATTAATAATTCAGTCAAGTTTTCAAAAAAAAAAAAAAAAAAATCAGTCAACATTCTTTGTGTGACATCTGTTGAGATTGTCATCTCTCCCCATTTAATTTATTGATTTCTTGTCATTCATTATATATATTTCCATTAACTTCACATTCTTGATAATGACTTGACTGAGGATAAAGGACATAATTTTTCATTTTTTTTTCCTTAAAATGTCTGTAAAAAGTTGACATACTATATGCTAAATAATAATGTTGCCTCCATAAGAACGGGACAGCAGAGAGCACAAACCTGAGGGCCTTTCTGGCCTTTCCACAGATGGTCCTGCATTTAAAGCTGGCTTAGGACCAGGATACTGGAAAACACAAACAGTTAGGTACAAACCAAAAAAAAAAAGAAAAAGGCAGAGAACAATTGCCCAAAATAAACATTAAAAAAAACTGACCCGTGTTCTAGAGCTGCCACCAATTTGGGGATACTTCATTATAGTCCAGTCAAATACATAATCGAACTGATAACCTAAGAAAAGGTCACGATTAATGTCTCATTTATACTCATGTGTTGCTTGTAAGATATAATTCTCAACAAATGATAGAATAAATAGCAAAGAGAGAATAAACACTCCAGATGAATGAACATAATCAAATCTAAAAAATAATTTTCATAAGATACAAATAAAATTTTGTTGGAACACATTTACCTTCTCGAATAAATAGGTCCCTAAAAAGCCTCTTTAAGTACGCATAATCAGGCTTATCTTCAAAGCGTAACGACCTGCAGTAGTGGAAATATGATACAAATTCTGAAGGATATGATTTGCAAAGCACCTGTTGAATACATGTCCCAGTTAGAAGTGCTTAATTATGTAACCAAAAAAATAAAATTAAAAGTGCTTAATTATCTCCAGTTTCCGAATAATAGTAATGCAAAGTGTGAAATTAATGGAAATATATATAATGAATAACAAGCAATCCAGATATAAAATGAAGAGAAGTGACAATCATAACAGATTTCACACCCGACAGGCATCAGGTTTAGAAAACACTTGAAGGTATAACCGTATAAGGGAGAAGTTTCTAATATCAAGGGCTCTAAGAGAAGTAAAAATTCTTCATACCAAAATTTAAAATTTAAAGAAAAGGAAAATGAGTTTAAGAAATTCCACAGTACCTCTATGGGAGTCATCATCTTCTTTTCACTGATTTTATCATATTTCTGCTTTTTAGTGTTCGCTTTTAGCCCTTGCCATGGAAGACTGACACAGATAAAACACACAAGGGCAACTTTGAATATAAGAAGGAAAAAAAAAGGTTAAAATAGATTAACACAAAAGACAGCTGTTATGCAATTCAACCTTCCTCTAAGGAAATACATTAGAACATAACCAAGAGATTCAAGATCATCCCGTCTACTTTGCTCTGCAAAACAATCGGATGAAATCAAAATCCATGAAAACTGACAAAGTGAGCGACTACTTGTTGAAATGGAATAACAACTATACATCAGCCACTAACCAATTCCAAGATGAGTATTCACACTTGCATAACGTGCAGTACCAGTCAGGCTCTTGTTCTCCCTGAAAAATCATGATCACATGGAAGCGATAATGAGAACAAAGAACAACATCAAAGGGACGCCCAAAACCCTCAACAGATGTCAATTTATATTGACACGACCAATACAGTAATTACATAATCAAATTCAATCAGATAACATATATGAAATAAAAAGGAAAGACCATTTTATTACCTGTATGGTATGTGCTTATGAGTTTGTAGATCCCTGTATTTCTTAGCTAACCCGTAATCAATAATGTAAACCTACACAAAAATAAACATAGCAGCATATCATCTTTCATGTTCTAATTAAGAGACATGTCACAAGCAAGTTGTCAACCTAGCGGCTGACAGGGCCATCTCAAACAACAGAAAGCTTATTCAAAAGATCAGCTAGATCTCTTATCCACTATTCTTATATTCTAGCACAAATAATTCTCTTGCTCATTCCACAAAAAAAGATGTGTAAAATGTCAGTGATCGTCCATGAACTTAAGCTGAGAAGCAAGTCAGTTGCAGCTGAGTAAAAAACCTTTTTCTACAAAATTATTTTTTAAGAGCCTCATATTATCTACTTCATAAATAACCCAAAAGTGTCCTCTCTTTATTTATTTATTTTTCATTTAGAGGAAAATGTGTGTACGTGATAAAATACCCAATCATCTGCATTTCATAATATCTCTCACATAACAGTCACACACACAAATTTAGCAGGCACCACAAACAGCACCAACTAGAGACTCAAAAGGTATATCCTCTTTATTTTAAGTCTATTTCTAATTCACTCTACTTGCAACCCGAATGTCTACTTTGAACTTGATCTTTTCCTCATTGTGTAAGTTAGCAGCCCAATGGTAGTAAAATACTTGACACCATCACATACACACACACACACACACACATCAATTATAACATTGGAATAGTGGAATGTACCTGATTTGCTTTGCGACCAAGTCCCATTAGGAAATTATCAGGTTTAATGTCACGGTGAAGGAAACCTCTTGAATGCATGTACTCAACTCTGTTGATCTGAAAGCAAAATAAAGATATAAAGCATCATCACCAGCTTAAGATAACAATGTGCCACAAAATCTTGAAGATACTTACTAACTGGTCGGCAAGCATTAGTACTGATTTCAATGACAACTTCCGATTGCAATAGTTAAATAGGTCTTCCAGACTTGGTCCCAGAAGATCAATCACCATTACATTATGTTCACCTTCAACTCCAAACCATTTGAGATGGGGCACTCCAGCTTCAACAACATTAAAACAATGTGTTTATAAAAGATTCTTACAGTTGTAAATTTATAAGCCTTGCATGCAAGAGCACTGATAGTGCATCCCTATGCAAATATTCAGCAAAAGAAACTGAGTCAACAGCATATTGGAGATACGGGGTAGACTTCACAAGCCTCAGGGGCATCAGGATAAAGACATTACTTGGTCATATCCAAAAGTGTAGGAAAATAGGCATAAGGTTAAGATATTTGATGAATGCAGAAGGGTTAAGTTGCCTGGGAGTTTGAGCTACGAAACATATGATTTGCATTGACTTCATAGCATTCACCTTAGACGTTTAATGGAATATGTCACACGTAGCCTGCTCCAGCAAATTGAGCTCGAATAGATAAGCAGATGAATGGTGTTTCACCTCAACATTTACACAGAGCATTGAGGTCAACAAATTATATGGTCTGAATTCTAAATCCTATTTCAAAAGGTGTTAAACCTCGATCTTTGGCTATATAATATAGATAACATACAGCTTAATAAGTCCTATATTCCAAAGTAGACCACATCCAAATCAAGAAGCTAAACACACACACACACACACACACACACAGAGGGAGCTGCTCAAATCCCAGTTATCCAACTCTATTATATATAATATGTAAAATACTTACTTCCTCCTTGAAGCAGCATATATAACTTTGATTCATAATGTAGTTGAGGATGCTTGGTCTTCACAGATTCCTGTAATATCAGTATTAAGAATAAATATGAGGCAATATATGCTGGTTCAGACATCACTTAGGGCAACATACAGGTAGTGGTAAAACCAACATAAACCTAGCAAGCAAGCTTCTTACAAGAACACACACATAAACACCACTTCCTACAAGGACTTCGACTACAAAACATCTCAAATGGGGTTCCTATGTGAAAATCAAAAGTCGATCAACACTCATTTGTCTAAATCAATTCTGTAACAGAACTAGTGGAGCTAGCACAACTGATATTTTCTCAATTAGATACAAGGAACCCAAAAACACCATGAAAAAACAATATTTCTGTCAATTCAACTATAAAAATACATGCTTTTAAACATCCTACAATCAAAACAACATCATCAAACACTTAGCAAGCAAGTAATGACTTTTGCATATGCAAGTCAACTACTCTAAATTTAATCATCAGATAGCGAAAACCCGGAGAAATCATACCATCTTAACAGCCACCTCCTCGCCAGTTTGGGTATTGACCCCTGGATCAATCAAACCAACACATCAAATTTTGGTCAAACACCAAATTTATGAAACAAACTATTCAAAAAATATTAAAGCAATCAAATTTTACCTAAATACAGCTCCCCAAATGATCCACTCCCAATTTTTCTCCCCATCTTGAACTTCCCACCAATAATCTGATCCATCTTTAATCCCCCTTTTTTCCTTTTTTTTTTTTTCAATCTACTGAACCCCAAAAAAAATCAACAAAATTTAATTTGTTGAGGAGTCAGATTTAGCCCCAACTCAGCCAAAAGTCAAAATTTCCAGATCTTAAATTCCAGAAATTATGGTAAAAGAAGCTCCAATTAAAGAAACAATTTTTGCCCAAAAAAATAATCAATCAAATTTGCACAACTTGCTGTACACGAAACTAATCAACTAACCATATACATTAACACCAATTCTATTAGAAAAATTCGTCGAATTAAATCAAAAGCAGAAAATTAGGTTGAACATCAAGATTGGTAAAAACCCTAAATCTTCCAACAACCCCACAAAAAAGGTCCGAAATCGTGGAACCTTAATGAGAAAAAAAGCAATTGATTATACGTTCATGCAGCAATTGGAAACCCTATCTATAATCATTGCAAAATATATTATCGCATTTCAGCGTATTTTGAGAGAAAAGGATAGAGAGAAAAAGAAGAGAGAGAAAGGCAAGACAAGACAGAGGGAGACAGAAAGAGAATGGGGTTAGAAAATTAACGGAAATTATGTCTAGTGACGCAGTACTACATCAATTTTGGATTTCCATTTTTTTTTTTTTTTTTCACAACTATGAAAAAAAACATGTTTGTTATCGTTTTTTATTCAAGTCCGTAATTTTTTTTTTTAAGGACTATTGAAGTATTGATTATGTATTTTTTTAAATAAATATTATTATATAACATGACATCTTATTTAGTTGATAGTATGACGTAATCAAATTAGTTTAGAGACTATAAATAAGGTTATTGACTATGAATAAGAAAGGTTATTGTCCTCCCTAATAGCCTAATAGACAATGAGCCAGAGAGGTTACTAACTCAAATAAGATTTTTTGATCATGCTTTATGCAAATGTATATGTGAGATAAGTTTTATTTATAGATTATCAATAATAATTGGATGAGGTTATTAATCATTTAAAATTATGTATTGAGTGATGTATGGCATGTCACGTAACACGTAGGAGATCAATTGTTTTACTACATAATACAAGTAATTGGATAAGATTATTGGTCATGTAACATTATCACTGTAATTGAGTGTATGGCGTGTCACATAAAAGATCAATTGTTTTACTTTTATTTTTCTTATAAAATTATATAATAATATGTGAATATGAGCACTTAAAAAAATCATAATATTATTAAGATCGTGAATTTCAACATAAACATGTTTAGTAATTAGTATTAGGATATCTAATTCTTTATTCATTAGACAATGCAACCTACTTTATATATATTTATATAATATACTAAAAACTACTAGTGGCAGTGAATATTATAGTTCATCCACTAATTTTTAAGGTTTTATGCCAATTGATAATAACTAAAGACAATATGCATTAAAGATGTTGTGAAAGATATATCATTGTCTAATATGATAAAGGGGCTTGCCCTCGTGTTCACCAAAAAAAAAATAAAAAAATATTAATAATAGAAAAAAAAAATTGTCTAATATGATAAGTTAATCGTTTTCTTAAGACAATTGAGCCATCATTAAAAAAAATCCAACACCAAGTGTTTAGTAGGTAGAATTCATAAAAGATAGAAAGTTTATATACCAAATAATTAAATTGTAAATATATAACTCTCCTAACAATTAAATGATCGAAATTCAATAAGATTGGTAAAATACTAAAATTTTTGTCTATTACAAGATTGGTAAATAAATGACCGTTGAGTCACATCATTTTTACAAGAACAATTCCATTTCGTATCTTTTCATTTTCTTTTATGGTAAATAACTTTTTGAGTCACATCATTTTAATACATAGAATATCTACAAGAATATTCAAATTTTAGTAAAAATATTAATAAAATAGCTAGGTATCAATCGAATCAAATACTAAATTAATGGGAGTAGGTGGTCCTTTAACTCCAAATTTAGACCTATTCCAACATGATTGATGGGTCTCAAAATAAACCTAATCATTTGCACTACAATTATATTTCTTGCAAACTTTTTTTTTTTTGGTTTCATTAATTCATTCGGTATTCCTTCAAGTCCCATCTTTAATACTTGGATTGTCAAAAGGCAATTAAGCATTGGACGTTGTAATAATTCTTCTCAAAGAGTTTGGTCTCCCAAGATATTTTCAAGATATATCTTGGATCTTACAGACCATATCATGTGTCATATATCATGATACAAGTATATGTATACAATTTCTACTAAGACCGTGTCTGGATTGGAGGTAATATATTAAGGGTTTGATAAAAGTCAAACTTGAAAAAACATAAGTAATTAGAAATGTTGTTGTAGGAGGTAAGGTGTTTACAAGTGAAATAAGTTAGTTGTAGGAAAAGAGAGAGATTGAGGAATTATATTACCCCAAATGAGCCTTTTTCTTCACCTCATACTACACACTATATAGTTTCTTTACAATCACACCATCACTGCATAATCTTCTTTACAATTACATCATCACTATCTCCTCCTTCTCTATATTCACTTGCATTTTACTTAGTTTGACTTTTATTAAAATAGTAATACATCTCTATCAATCCAAGCATGTCCTATTAAAGATGGATTACTATGGTAATCATATCATGTGGTAAAAAATTAACTTTATGGCTGATATTTCTACATCGAACTAGAATTTGGAGTATTTTAACAAAATGGTCAAACTCTATATTAGTATTATCAAGAAAACTAAAAGGATTTCAAATTTATTATAAGATGCAAATGGAAGTATTCAAAATATAAGCCTCAAATATGGAAAAAGTGGAGGCCAGGAAGACATAGGGTGTTGTTAGACATAATTAGAAATTGAGCTTCATGTGATGAGATAATGTTAACGAAATGTTTTTAAGAGTACTTTCAATCCATTTACTAGTATTTAAAACTAATTTAAAGAGTACTATTATATTGATATATTGAACTAATAAATTTAAGTGTATAGATATTTAAATGACCAATCATACTTCGTATATAATAACAAAGATTAGTAATTAGTAGTATATGAAATGTTAATCTTTTAAATTAATGACTATACTTTCTGTAATAGTCTGTACTAGTATTGTTGGATACCAAAAATTATTTATTTATTTACTTATATTAGTAGATTATTAGAGGAGGCAAGACAACAATAGGTTCGATCTTACTAACTCATCAAGATCATCAGATCAATTCAATTTTTTTTATTAGTGGGTTCTATCAACATGAAACTAATTATATTAAAATTATTCACATATTAACAAATTACGTGTGTATATATATATATTCATAGAATTTAACCCAATGTCCTAAATAAAAGAAAAAAATATTTACAATCATTTTATTGAGTAAAAATATAAAGTTAAACTTCTCATAATTAAATACATAAATATTATTAAACGACTTTAAATTACAATTACCATATTGCTAATCAAAGTTAGGCCGATGTGCAGTTTTTGGTGACAAGGTAAAAACAACATGCTATCAAACTTATGAAAAGAAATCAAGAAATCATGGGTAAATATTAAATTAAATATAAAACTAAAAAAATTGAATTAATAACATACAACCTTACAAAAAAAAAAATGTTGTAGAAACCCATTAAAATGAAAACCAGGAAAGACAACAGGAGAAAACAATATCGTTTAGCCAAATGAGACACTTCAAATAAAAAACACTAAGTTAGAATATCAAATACGGATTGTAAAAACAAAAAGATAATTATAAAAGTGGAGCATTAAATACAAGTAATATTTTGTCTGGATAATTAAATTTTAAAAAAAATTCTGATCATACCCTTATATTAATTTAACATTTTAATCTATAGTTGATAATAATTTATGAAAAATACCTTTTAAATTTTTCTTGAAGAAACTAAGATGAGTGTACACGAAATGAAGAGAGGAAGGTCAAAATGTAATGTGAAAACATGCTGGTTGTAAGGGGATTAGCACTAGTATGGAAGAGAGGCTGGGATGGATGCATCAATTCATACTCAATTAATCACATTGATGAAACAATTAGTAGTACGGAGCATGAGGATTGACGTTTTACTTGAATCCTAGAAGATGATAAAAAAAATAAAAATTAGACTGGTGTTCTCATGGAGGCTCTTCGTGCTGACACTAGTATCCTGTGATTGTGTAGGAGTGAATTTAACTTAATCTCAATTATTTATATGGTGGTTCAATAAGTTTGATGCTAGTAAATCACAAACATTCTATAAAAAAAACGTTAATTAAATCGTTTGCTTTTGGACAACTTGTGTTTTGGATATTATAAAAGGTTATTATTGTTTTTTTATTTATATTATTAAATTTTTCAAGGAGACAACTATAGGTTCGATCTCACTATCCCAGCAATCTTTGAAGACTTCTATATAGAACAATTCAACAAGATCATAAGTTCAATTCAAAATTGAAATAATAGAGATATCCCAAGTACTTTAGCTGCTAATAGTCTCATAGTAATTGAAAGAAAGATTATGAGAGAGATAATTTCATAAATAAAAGTAACAGTCAACCTTATTAGAAACTAGGTTTACTGAATACTAAATGTTTAAAATAGATTAGAGATGTCTTGGTAATGGTATACACAGCATAGGGTCTTGATTATGAGTCTTGTACATCCTAATATGAATGTTGATTACTTTAGGCTATAATAGATAAGTAGTTTTCTAAGTATGGTGGTACGTATTCTCTTTGTTTTGAATATTTGTTACAATTTAACTGGTATAGGAGTGTTAATGCATAAGTTTGACTATAATTGTATACTGTTATGTGAGTTGAATTGGGAGTATATATACGAAGTATAAGATATGAAAAAAAAAAAATTAATGTTTGAGAATGTTCATGAAACTAATCCTACAACTTTAGACAGTAACATCTAATTTGCATACATTAATAAAATATATAGTCAAAATTGATACATTTACATAGCATTAAAATCAAACTGTTGTGAGATTTAAAAATCGAGTACGTAATTATAATGTGTTAACTTCATAATAAGCCAAATTGTCAACCGAGGGAGAGAAAGTCTAATTACGCAATGGTGGTGCATTACGAGGTAGTAAAGCGTACCGTGTGCCAATTCCTTAAAACTTTTACAACTAGAGTATCATGGTTTAAATGATAATCTCCTTGTATTATGCTTTAATTACATGAATTTTACAAGCAATCAAAAGAAAATTTCATGATCATATTCACATTTGTCGTCCATAATTGTATTCCAGCTCATTACAAAATTATCATTTCGGTGTAAAGATTATTGTAGAACACGATTTTAATAATTGATTATCCAGTCAAATTAATCTAAAGGGGATGAATTTTGTGGTTGAAAACAGGGATGGGGGGGGGGTGGTTGGTTACAATTTGCTAATACAAGTAAATAAGCAATACATAAAAAATATTCAGAATCAATGATTTTGTGTTAAAATTATGTGTACATAAGTTCAAAGTTTTCAAGCTAGCACACATGTTGATCTTTATGCAATATTGTCACTTGTAGCTATCACCGTGAATGTCCCGATCCTCCATCCGTCTCAAAATCATAGATACACGTACTATTTTGAGATCGGAAACTTGTCATATTTTCTACAAACAACAAGTAGATTGTGGTTATATTCCTAAAGCACCCCACTTATATGAGGGGGAGTATGGTTGTATACAAAATACACTTATCTCTTAAAAGAGATTAAATTAGGTGCATGAAGGGACATCGTTAGGGTTATCTAAATATTAGGATGGTTTTTTGGAAAGAAAAAAAGGGTGAGAGGGTGAGACTCCACTCAAAGGGAGAAGTGTGGGAAGAGATATGTCATATTGGGCATTTTAGTGAAATCACAATGAAACCTATTTTGGAGACTGATGTCTGTAACAATTAAATTCTGACAAGACAAATAATAGTAGTCTAGTAAAACTTTTGGTCACGTGGTCAGAATAACTGTACAATCCAAAATTTCCAAACCGAATATAATATGTCGCATTCCTTGGCCTTTATGGTTATATCCTATTCAAGACTTCTAATCAAGAAACTAGTTGAATGAAAAGTTTAGTGAAGAACAATTCCTTACATAGTAACAAGAAACATGAACCTTATTGCAATCATATAGGTCGCACATCTGAGCTGAACATTGGGGAAATGAATCGGAAAACTACAGAAATTTATCTCTCATTAACCAAGGGAAACCCAAATGCTTAACACAAGCAATACATTTGTACAAGATACAGGTTTTACGGTACAAAGGTTGGAACAAAAAGAATGGGGCATCAGTAATCAACAAATAGTATTCACTTTACAGTTTAGTTGGGTTACTTTGGGGGAAAATTTTACAGTAATGAAATTGGAATCAGGAGCGAGATCGAAAATTAGCTAGTGATAAGATTCACCTATGCCTTCAAATGTATTTCAATTGTTGTAATGCAACAGGGATAATTATAAACTGACCAGATCTATCATAGGTCAGATATTCCTTGGTCACCTAATGCTTGAAGTATTTAGGAAAACTTTGATGGGGGAGTATCGGTTTGAACTGGGGACACTTCTAATTGAGGAGGCAAGAGATTCAAAAAACTCCCATTAACAGATTGATCACCACTGGTTGCTGCTTCTGATGTATCTGATGACTCGTCCTCTGGCACAAAGAAGCAACATGTGAAAAAAAAACCCCGACTAGTCACCTATTGGTGTATGATCAAATAACTCCAACCAAAAAGATTTGAGACAGATGAACCTCTATATAGCCGTCTCAAATGAGAAAGAAAAAAAATCCAGAAAAAAGACCAAATCAATTTCATTCCTGCTACCATCGGATTAAACAGTTCCTTTTGCTTTGAATGTCTCACTTCGATCATCAACTAATAGAAAAGAAGCATAAGTAGAAGGCTTATCCAAGAATAAGCTATTCATCAACTTCACCTCTTTAAGATCGATATATTCAAAAAGTACAGGCATCCATGTAACCAAAGGAATGAGAATATTTATGGGAGAGCTATCAAAATGAAAAAGATGGTATATTAGTAGTAGTATATATTTTCTCCTTAGGGCTGAAAGCATAATGGTGGGAGCACACAGCTGTGAGCAGTTGAAAGAAACAAAACAATCTTGCTAAACTTTCATATGCAACCAATCATGGCGATATGCAATTGCAACTAAAGCTTGATATGTCACATAAAAAATGATAATAAAATGGGAGGAGAAAAAAAAGGAAAAAAAATGTGAGGTTTCAGCAAGGAATACTATGTGAAGGAATCTGCTGAAACAACACCCATGAAGAGAAACCAAGTCTACAAGCTCTTCCAAGAATATTGGTTTAGCAGTTGCAGGAGCAAAGCAACATTTTTACAAAACTTCAAAGGAGGTTTCACAACATCTAGGCTTCTTGGCCAAGATCGCAGGGAACTAGATAACGCAAAATGCAGATAGGAATAAATGAAACACAAACTCAAGACAAAAACCCCAGAGGTACAAACTTACCAAAGAGTGACTTGATTGACGGCCTCTTAGGCTTGTTGTCTTTCTTCTTCAATTCAGCTGCAAGTAGCCACCAGAATACCAAGGTCAAGAGTATTAGACAATGCAGTACAATATTGTATTGTGGTAGAGAGGCCTCAGAAAAAGACCCAATGAAGCGACAATGATACAAACGTCTACAACTTCAACAACATTTATTTTCACGATTAATATTGTTCTATTAATACTGTCATTCGAATTTAAATATCCTGCTATGCATGAAAAGCCATTAGGACAGTCACAGTGAAACACAAATTTTTACTCCATGCATGGAAAGCCACTAGGAGAGTCACAGTGAAACAGGAATTTTTACTCTGGGACAGTGACGAGGTAGAACACTTAATGTTAATAAGTGTTGATGGAACATTAAAACTCAATAGATCCTTTTACAGAAGTATAATCAGATTCATGCGATCTCAGCCAGTCATTTTCAAATACAAAACATGATTCCAGACATTGACACAACTGTTAAAAAAACAGAGTAGGAGAGGAGCAAGAGCAAGAATACCAATGCCTGGAACTTGATAATCATTCACAATTTCGAAGTTCTTGTAAGTGTAGCCCACAAAATTTAGGTCCTTGGATGAAAGCATCTGTAGAAAGGCCATAATAACGAGAGAAAAATTAAGATAAGAAACAGAAATACCAGGACAAAGAAGGAAACAGAGAGCATACAATATGAAAATGCAGAGATAGAGAAAAAGAAAAAAATATAAGAAAACAGATTAATCGACGAAGCAGAAAATGAAATATTTGTAATTTAAGAGCTTCCCCTGTTTAGAAAACTAAGCTAATCCATAGTAGTCTAGCTAATATGTTTATAACCAGAGATACAGAGCAAGAACATAATCATTTTACTGCATGAAGTATTATTATGACACCAAAAACACCAAAACATAAAAGAAGACTAAAAGTACAGCAAATTACCTTTCTCCATGGACCTTGCTTTGATGTTGATTGGGATGAAAAGTCAGCCTGCATATACCACAAAAACTGTAAGTATATCAATCTATAAATGGAAAATAGTTGTAGAATTTCAGTATCACTACAAAGAGGTGAGAGCACCTCATCAAACTTCTCAAAATTCTGTGTGTCTAACTCATCATTGACTTCAGGGAGGAAAGCAGCTTCCATTTGGTATATTCTATCCCAATCAATACCATCGAACCATGGATGAACCTAATATTATAGTTTATAGAGATATAGAAGAAAAGGATTAGCTTCTTATTTAAGAAATCTATTTAGATCTCCTAAAGAACCAAGAATAACACAGACCATACAACACCTTTATTTCATTAGCACCATTTGACCCAAGTCTCTGATTAACATTACACAACAGTTTACCAATGAGATCTTTAGCCTCTGGAGATATTTTTGCTTCCTCAGGGAACTTTAAATGAGTTCTCCAGTTTACTATCTGCAAAACGTGGAAAGACCTATAAACCACCTCTTGCATAATCAATCGATTACTCCATCAGTTTACAACGGTTATATCAGCATTGGTTACTGAAAAGGAAAAAAAAATTACCTTCCTACATGTTGTCATGGGATCATCTGAGTAAAAAGGTGGATATCCAACAAGCATTTCAAACATTATTGCCCCGAGTGACCACCTGTAGAATAATAAATATACATTTTCAGAAGGCAACAATTGTTATAAAGGTACAATCAACAAGGCTAGTTACACAGACCTTCATTACAAGTTACCAAAAACAAAGGCATGAGATCATATCTATGTAAAAAAAAAAAAAAAAAAAAAAAAAAAAGCGGCCAAGTATGTTACATGTATTGCAGTGAACCATATTATTCAAATTGAAGTGATTCAAATGTATAAATTAACTAAAATATATTGGTAATTTGATATGGAAAACAAATGTCCAGGTCAGCCATCAGAAGAGTTTCAAATAGATCTTAATCCCCAAAGTTTATAACTTACCACCTTACTAAGCTCATAATTTGTAACCTCTAAATTGTGGCTTGACTGACTTCACTTTGTGAGCTCCCACGTTTTCAAGTACGACTAAATTTCAAAAATCTTAATTCTTCAGCATATATAGCACGTAATGTGGGTATTAATTAAAAATGTTATTCTTAATTTTAGACTTTTTCAAGTATCCTACTCGGAAGTAGCAACTTTTCCCCTCTAAAGGATGCAGTGTTTTTTTTTTTTTTTTTTTTTTTTTTTTTTTTTTTTTTTTTTTATCAGATCATGGAGATGGTAATAACAATTATTAAGCCAACAGCCAAAACTTAAAAATGGAATGTTTTTATCCTATTGACACGGAGAATAATCCAGATTTAGGCAGTATAGTTTTTAGCACCACCAGAATTCAGATTCGTTTCCTTAAGTTGCCAACAGAAGAAAAAGTTATATTACTCACCAATCACATTCCATTCCATAACCCTTCTTCAATAGAACTTCTGGAGCTATATAATCTGGTGTGCCAACAGTAGAATAAGCCTGCACATCATCAATAAATCAGCATCATAAGACAGAGAACAAAGCATAAAAAAGGCCCAATAATTTCTCACATATTACATAAAAATAGAGCTAACAAAGAGTTCATACATAATATTTGTACCCATGAAAGAAAAAATATGAATCGCTAACTAAGTTATTTCTAGCTGCACACTCCAAGGAGATAATGCTTCAAACACAGGTAATACAATATCTTCCAGCAAAAAAATGTGAACATACAAGCATCCGCCGATTCTTCTGCCAATGTTGAAGTTGCTCCTGCTGTGTACGTCTGGGCTTTGTAGAGCCATCATCAGTTGACGAATTCCCGTTTCCACTCTGGACTTCAAAATCCTTTTCTTCAAGGGTACTGCAGTCTAATGGTTTACAAAGTCCAAAGTCTGACAGTCTCAAGTGCCCAAATTTATCAAGCAGCAAGTTATCAGGTTTAATGTCTCTGCCAAAATTGTACTTATAGGTTAATCAGATGTGCGCCATGCAATATCATTACAGCAATCAATATATCCAAATAAAAAGTCAATAACAAACCTATGAATGTAATTATGTTTGTGGATAGATTCAATGGCCAAAACAGTCTCTGCAACATAAAATCGTGCCTCATCCTCGGTCAATGTATCCTTCCTCATGAGTAAAGTCATCATATCACCACCAGGAAGATACTCCATAATGAGATACAAGTATTCCTCATCTTGAAAAGAACAATAAAGCTTAACAATGCAATTGCTGTCAACTTCTGCAAGAAGATTCCTTTCAGCTTTTACATGTTCAACCTACAATTACACGGCAATTGGCAATGAAATCAGTAAATAAACATGGTATATACTAAGTATAGGATTTTTCAGCTCAGCTAATCAACTAATGTAGTGCCATACACAAAAAAATTAATTATAAGTTATTATATTAAAATTTACAAAAATAAAGCTATTAGTCTTTCTTCTCGTTTGTTAACAAAGAATATTATGTTCTGATTTGTGCTGCATAGATGAATGTCAGTTCATTTTGTTTTATAGGATAAGGAAAGGTTTGAGTAATATCATGTGTGACGTAGTTTCCATAACTAAGCACCCATACAATATTAGATATCTAAAGCAACATAAACAAACAACTATAATTCATGTACTTTACTCGAAAAGGATGCTTGACATGCAAAAAAGAAACCAAGTGTTAATATAGGAACAGACCAACATTTCCTCCGACCAAAACCCTTTTCCCATGAAGTTGCAAAATATCAACAAAAAAGCACAACTAGAAATAACAGTTGACAGAAACAAATAGAGATAGTCGTACCTGCCCTCGTCGAAGCATCTCTGACTTTTTGAGCTTTTTCATAGCATATACATGATCTGTTGTCTTTTCCCTACATATCCTGACCTGCCCCACATAATTTTGACCAATTAACTAAGCACTGACAGGCTACAGCAGAAATGCAACCAATAAAAAGGGGTACAATCACAAAAGATATTTCTTCAAAATAATCAAATACGAGGACCTAAAGTCCCAGACCAACAATCCAAAAAAAAAAAGCTAGTTTGTGACACCAAAAGTGACTAAAAACCTACATTTTCTAGACAAAGCACCTCTATAAAATAAGACACTCTGGAAAAATTTAATGATTTGCTAGTTGTCCACGAATTCAAGAAAATGAGGAATTAACACATTGGCCAAGGTTGATATTAAAAAGAGTCTTTTATGTCCAAAGTTTCCTCTGCCAAAAAAAAAAAATTAAAGTAGTATCCCCAAACCTCTTCTTTTGTAATCAAAGAGAAGGGCGAGAAAAATCTAAGAATATAAGTAGAAAGAAATAAGGCGTAATGTCAGTAACCCCTTCAAAGGCCATTCTAACAGACCCTTATCCTCCATATATCCCCATTAAAACCTACCTATTTAAGGAAACCAACACTATCCTATTCTATAGTGATGTGACCAGCTTTAAATAGCTCTAACCTGGGCCTACCCAATAAAACATAACTACATCACCCTTCATTAATCATAATTATAGGCCTTTGTCAGCTAGGTAGTGTTACTCTCCCCATTTGGAAAAGGTGCACAAGGGAAGAGGCAATATTTGCACAGTGAGCTATTATTATAGTGATGTTGCAGAGGATGCTCCAATTTGGTAGAAAAATAAGAACACTTACTGTTTACATAAGTACATATTGAGTTGCCAAAAAATTAAAAAAAAATTATAAAAAAATAAAAAAATCTATTATAATGCACAGAAATGTTCACTAACGTGGTCTGCAGACTGCAGACATAAAATGAGGGTCCATGGCAAGGGAGTGAATGCCATCAAATACTAACAGAGGAAAGAAACCATGTTTGAGAAAATTAAACAAATCAAAAATTACATACCTCACCAAATGCACCCTTTCCAATCATTGTCAACAGCTCAAAATCATCAGCACCCATTTTATGCCTTTGGAGGCGCATGTACTCAGTCTCTTTCTTCTCCAAAAACTTTAATAAGTTGTTCTGATCTTCCTCAGACACATCAGCATCAGCCAACTTCCTTTCTAGTACACTCCGACTGGTCACAAATAGCAAGTGGTATAAATCAAGTTAAGCTTCAAAGTGAATTATATTGAATTTTAAATGAATCCGTAATCAACTTTGCACACATGGACCACATCCCTCACAATGATGCAATCACATCCACAGAGGCAATATATGACACTAGTTATCTATATAAGCAGACAAGGAAAGAATAACATAAAAGTTGATTACTACCTTCATATTCCTCATCAGAAATGGAAGTAAAACTACACAAGGAAACATGAAATATGCGAATGTAGTATATAATAAATATAGCTGATAGAAAATCAAAGCACAGTGATCATGCATTAACTCCTGTCACATAGAATTTCCAAAAATTAATTAGTTCTCTAATAATTTAAAAATGTCTCAGTGACGTTTATAGTACTTTATGCAATGGGTGCCAAATTCCTTCAAAAAAAAAAATACAACAGGTGCCATATTGCTTACTAAGTTGCACTGAGATAATCAAGATTTTGATCAATCATTAAAAGTCAACCTTCTCTTAAATTCAATTATCCCAATTCCCAAGTTCTAAATCAGCAAAACGATCACTTATTATTAAAGTTCTCGAAGCATACCGCTCCTTCCTTTCTTGCAAATTCTTCATTTGCTCCTTGTAGTGTTTCTCAATATATTGCTTTGCTGCCGCAACCCTCTGTTGTGTAACATTTGACGGCGTTTCATCATCTGATGTTGGGGCAGACACTTCCTTACCTCCCAACATCCCGGAATCCTTCTTTTTTGATGCAGATCTCAACTTATCACGTGGCTGCAACTTATGAAACCAACTCTTGGCCGAATCCATACCCTTCATTGGGAAAAAGAAATTATTCAGTGATCTCCTGAATTTTTCAGGGTTTGCATAATCAATGATTCAAAATACTTTAAAATACCCACCAATATCACCTCATCTGCAACTATTGAAGAACATCAATCCAACTTCATTTTGCAAAGCATACTATCTCAGATTCAAATTTCAATAACCCTGCAACATGAATACAGAAACCATTTATATAGAGAGAATTATACATTAAACAAGATTCAAACATACTTTAACTCAAAACATGCACAAAAAATCACACCTTTTCACTATCTTATTGTAACATTTCCCAATTGCAATTACATTTAACCAAATCTAACCAATTTAACTTCATAAGAAGGAAGAATAAAACAAAGAATTCACAAAATCATTAATGTGTAAGTCAAAATGTAATACCTAGATACAACAAACTCCTGCCAATTGCAAATAAATAAATTGTTTCCATAATATCATTAATCGAAAAGGGGGTAAATTGAGGAAACCTTAATCAATTTGATCTAATTTTCTGTTTTCAATAAAATCCAATCAGTCGAAATACTAACTCTATGAAATTCATTCAACAACCATAATACAAGATCAAAATCTCAATAACACGAACATTAATTAATGATTATAATCATGATTAAAAAAAGAAAATTAAAAATTGCCTCAACCCGGGAAAATTTCAATTGAATAAATTAAACACGACAAACAATTCAGCAACATCAAATTGATCATCATATCAATTACAAAAACCCTAGATTGATTGAAATTGAAAATTTACAATAAAAAATCGGGCAAAAGATCAAATCCAAAGAATGTGGAAGAGTACCGTGAAGAATTTCGCAGACCGAAGAGAAGTAGCGGTGATCGTCGGCCCGCGAAAATCTCAGAAAATTGAATTGCAGAAAATTAAATAGAAAAAAAAAAGGATGAAAATGAGAAGAAGAAAGAAAAAAACAAAAGATGTTTTCAGAAGAGCGAAGAATTCGGAAGGGATGACCACGATAGCTTGAGAGTCCTCGTTGCCCGCATGATCTTTCTTTCTCTCTCCTCTTCTCTTCTCTTCTTCTTACTTTCAACTTTAGTATTTATTTTGGTATTTTGGGGGGAAATTTATAGATTATGAATTTATGATTGTATGTTAATATTTATATACTCTATAATATATACTAGTATATGACAAATGTATAAAGTTGGAAATGATCACCCAATGAAAGTGGTTATTGTCTTTTCATCTTATAAACTTTATAAAAATTAATTGTTATATGATTAGAGAGAGGGGTAGATTACACTAACTTTATCGGTTTGTATGTAAAATTATACTTGACAAATATAATGGATTTAAAAATGGAATGTGTTTGTCTGGATGAAACTATCAACAATTGACCAAGATAATATTATGATGCATATAACAAGGGTTATGTGAACACGTGTAATGCACATTCATAAGATTTAGATGTTTGCATCATGACTTTAATGAGCATGTATATGTATGTTATAGGTTTATATTGCGTTTTAACACCCGTTATAAAATTGAGTTTTTACATTTATCAGAGAAAAATTAAAAGGTAATTGTAATATCAATTATTGTGTTAAATTAATTTATGTACAATAGATGGCTTAAACATCTAAAAAAGCACCTTAGTAAACTTGTAGTTCTTTTGTAATTGTTTTATCCTCGTAAATTAAACATAGATTTCGAAGTTCTACTCTTATATAGTAAACTTGTTGTCCATTAACATATTCCTTCAAGCTGCAACCTCTTTTCTTCTCGCGTCTTTTTCCTCAATAGATAATGGTAATTCAAAGTAACTAATCTAACATTATTTCTTCCATCTCACAAAATGTTATTTTTGGATAAAAAACAAAAATATCCACTTTTAACAACTATCATCTTGAACATGGTAAATCAAAATCTTCATTCTTAATTTAAAATGCTCTACTCCATACAAAATAATAGCGTACCATATAAATATGAACATGCTTTATTCTATGATTGAGAGAAATAATTTTTTTAAAAAAAGTATTGATTTATAGATTTGGTCGACTATTTATTAGGACAAAACACTATTTACAAGGTGATTCGATGTGGGATTTCCTTAGAAAAATGATTTGTAGGAAACTTCTAAGGCAGTGAGAGATGGGCCTGTTTGGCTGGCCTTAATACTAGCACATACTGCCAACTTGGTGAAAGCATCCATCCAAATGCTAAGGATCTTTTATTTTTCCCCTATTTTATAGTAGTTATTAACAATTTTTCTTTATTTTAATTATCTATCTCAGTTACTTTAAGGCTTTGCTTGATTTGCACTTAATGAACAATTTCCATTAAGATTATAAGGTTATATAATTAGTTTTCACCTTTTTATGAATTAATAATATTTCTTTACCCAAAGAAAGTTTTTTTTTAAAAAAAGGTGGCTAATGATACTCCTGTATATATGGCTTTTGGCTAAATTTGAGGTATTAAAATCACCAAATTTTATGTTTATTAGTACTATAACTATCAAATGAAGAATTTGCACCAAAAAACTATCAACTGAAGAATTAATTAGGCCTTAGCCTAGTATAATAGTATGTAGCAAGATAAGAGTTTTGTCTAAGGCAAGTTCTCCACATCATTTGTAATTGTAATACTTCGTATGTCTTTAATTACGCTCAATACAAGTTATTAATATTATTTAATAATTATTTTATTTTTGCCTCGCATTTTATACATTATGCAACTACCAAACTTCTTGATAGTTACATAGTTCCAAGCATATTGTTACTCTCTTCTAGAACACAATATTCTTACCAATTTCCTTATCAACAAGAAAAAGTATAAAACAATCATGTACATTCACAAGTTGGTTCATAAAAAATTAGAAAATAAAAAAATAAAAATAAAAAAGTATGGTGTAAAGGAGTGTTAAACTCACGTTTTTGACACAACTTAACGAGGAATCTATTAATTCATTTGTTACATTTGTAGCATCCCTTTTATTTGACATCTCTTTCCTATAATGCAGAAGAACAATAACAGGTAATTAGAAAACACAAATATCAAACTCTTGGATAACAAAATACTTGAGCTCAACTCGTTTAGAATTTAACGATTAGCCTATATACTTTGCATATTTGGCCAATCGATTAAATTAAGAGGGTTGATATTTGTTGTTTGACTATTCTGCTAGTATTAAGTACGGAGTATTTACATAAACAATCTGATAAAGTTGATTGTTGACTAAGTACTAGATACGGAGTATATCACATGCATGTTGCTCCAATATTTTCCGATATTTCATATATCTAACAGTACTCCATTCATTCACGATAAACCTATTTTATATTGTTTGACTTCGTGAACGACCAATCCGAACTACAAACGTTGTAATATTCCCCCACCATGTTGGTACCAATTCAAGACACCAAAAATGAAATAAAAATGATACATTCTTTCACAGACATTGTTGTTATTTTTCATATGCCTTTCTCTCTAATTGAATTAGAATGTGATCTGATTCATGTGGTTGGAGTTATAATGAATGGGAAAATGTTCCTTATATTAGAAACAGTTGGCAGACCACATTGCTTATTCCTCTTAACATCACTCATATTGTACATGTGGGTTGACTCATTTTTGGCTACAATTGGTCAGTCAGATACATGTTTTCTCAAACATTAGCCCATGTGACCCATTTCTCTTAATATGTCCGTTTTTATTGGAAACCCCACAAAATAATGTGGCCATCTAAATCAAATCCAGATATTATACAACCAGCTAATTTATCATATTATTCAATATTATGATAGTAAAATTTATCAAATTATGATGAGTTGACATTAGTTGAGCATATACAAGTCTTCTATTGTCTGCTTCCCTTTGTTATTGTTAAGTGCAAGTAAGCGAGTATTATGCATCTCATATTGAAAGGTGAAGTAAAGAACACTTTCCATTTTATCTGTTAAACTATATGATATTAATTTGAAATGGAATACTCCTTATGTTTTAATTAATTTGTATGTAGGGAGTGTTTTGTTATTATGATGCACGGGTTGCCCTTAACGGTTCACACCAATGAGTGTATTTTTCTTGTAAATAAAGTAGAGTGTAAAATAGAATTTTCAATAACTAATAGTTTCGATCATGTATTTAGTATAGTTCATCATACAAGTGTAGGTCATGACTTTTGTTTTGTCATATCAAAACTAAAATGAGATCAGAACTAGCATTGTGGCTGTTACCTTTTCCTTTCTTTTGATCTCCTCGTACAACATAAACTTAAGTATTAGAATAAAAGTTTCGGAAATAAATGAACACGAAACTATCACGGTTGTGTGGAAGAAATTCCAAAAAACTATTGTTATTGGCAAATTGTTCATCTATTCGGGGTGATTTTCTCCCTGTTTATAATGAACTGTAAACATCTTCCAGCCTAATATTTCTTGTCCAAAACTAGCATCAGGCTGAACCATGGCATATGCCACATACCTAGCAAGCATTGCCAATATATATACCAAAGCAGTAAAAAAAACAAATGCCAATAACGAACAGAAAACACTAATACTACGAGTCTAAAAAAGCAAAAGTTATTGCATTATCCAAAAAAAAAAATGAAAAGCGCATAATACAGCATAATAAGCAGGAAACTTGCACTAGTCCTGGCTACTTCCAAAACCATCACGTCTCTCTGATTGCCATCTGTAGTTCTTTCCATCATTACTCATCTCACCTGAAAAGTACCCATGTTTATGTTGCACCAAGTGAGGAGGTGGTGGCCCTGGTGGAGGTGGAGGCGGTGGCATGCCTTGCGGGGCTGACAACAAACCTTGCCCACCTTGGACATTTTCGAAAGGAACATTAGCAGGGCCCCCATTCCAAGGACGGGGATAATTTTCTTGGAAATTAACAGGCCCAGGTCCTGGAGCAAAACCCAATACTGACCCTTGCTCAGATCCACCATCCCCAGTGGAGTCTGATCGTGCTACCTCATAGGAACCTGGAGTGTTATAAAAGGGTGGTGCTGCATCAGATGGGAAAGGAGAAAAGCCAAATGGAGGCGGGCCCATCATCATTGGGTTTGCATTAACAGGCATTGCGAAATTAGGTGGCTGTTGGGGGTACATCATTGAGTACTCACGATGAGGATCAGGCAGGATTCCTTGTTGCTGCTTGTCTGAAAACTGGCCAAAATCCTGTGTTCCACCCTGTGAATCACCATTCTGCTGTTGCATCCGAGGTTGGCCCGACCCATCAAAGCCCATGGGGCGGTTGTCGGATTGAGGGTCAGAAGGATGGGCTTGTCCATAGAACGGTGGTGGCTTTGGCTGCATAAGTGGTCTAAGAGGAGGCTGGTCTCTAGGTTGCTGGCGGCGGGCTTTATCTTCACGATCATTCACCTGATGATTTGCACTAGGAGGGAAACCAGGCCTTGGTGGACCTCGAAGTGTTGTATCTAATGTCGAAGAGGGCTTAGAATTTGATCCCTCTGGTTCACTCATCTCTTCTCTTTTCATATTAGGCTGAAGCAAGTCAGCATGGTTTTCATGTATGTGAGACTCAAAATCAGACTTTTTCAGAAATGACTTGAGGCAGTGAGGAGCAGCACAAATGAAGATTCCCTCCATCATTTTGATCGTTTGGATCTTCTGGATTCGTTCATCACATCTGTCACAAACAAGTTGTTCAGTATATACTGCCTCTGTCCCCATCTCAGAGCCCATTTATTCCCCTCTCCCTTATCCCCAATGTTTCCAAATGAGCACAAATTGGCACTACCAGAAGACTATACTCCAAGAGTACATAAGAATTTCTACTCTATCAAGTTTGTCCTGTAATGCTTCTATGACCTCATAGGAACAAACAGAACTACCCAGAAAATCCCATCAAGACTATTACATAAATTATCTACTGAAAAAAAGAGGACAATCAATATACAACTGCTAAATATTTCGAATGTATGATATAGAGACCCGATTAACCATTTAAGTAGCAATTTTTTCACCTGAATTTCACTATTCTTATGGGAACTAATTAGCCCTGAAATTATATTCATAACTAAACTTATCTTATATGAACTTATTAAACCTGAACTTATCTTGACCGAACCTATTAGCCTTATCTTGTCTAAACCTATAAACCTTGAACCTGATCTTGTCTGAAGCTATTAGCCGTGAGCTAACCTTATATGAGCTTGTTAGACCGGAAATAAGTGATAATAAGGCAGGGAGTATAAAGCCCTGACCTTAAAACTCATATTATCTGAACTTATTAGACCTAGAAGGCTAGAACTTTATCTTATCTGTATTTAATAGCCCTAATTATATTATATGAAGTATGAACATAAAATAAGTGAACATAAGGTATGGGCAATAGAGCCTTAATCTTCATATTCACAATGACATGGACTCAAAAGTCTGGACAATTGATGTTATTTTATAATGCAGGATTTCAGAGACCAAAGTGATCTCTTGATCAGGATTAGTCGTGTTTACTTTCTTTTAAGTTCACAGGTTCTAGCAAAATCCGAGTTTGCTGCTTCAACCGTCACAAAACTAAAGTTGAAAGCAATGAAATAGGTAAAGTGGTTAAAAATTGAAATTAAAGAGCCCGAAAATTATGAAGAAAAGGGAAGGTTGATTACCAGCAATGCCATTCTTATAAATTGCATAAACATTAATAAGAGGAACAGATGAGTTTAAATGGAAATTTTGCATTCCTAGAATAACTTCTATTATGGTGTTACTCAGTATTTACTTCGTACAAAACAAATAGAATAATTTGTAAGAAAATGAAATTATTAGCAAGGCTTTAATCATTTTTCTCAAATTCTAACTTAAACAGATCTTCACTGAAATAGGTATTTTTGACTCTTCGTGCTACCAGTTCTAATTATATTAGCTCAACTCTGTGGACAAACTAAATCTATTTAATCATGCAATATTGCATGCACATGTATGATTACGCATACATTGAACGTTCGTCAAAATGCATTTGCTCTGCTGACATGAATGCAACACACTTTTTCTCTTCGTATGAAATGATTCTCTAAGATCAATCTTTTTATGTACAAAAATGATGTACCTCTGTACACAACACTGGTTTCTTCACAGGCAAATACATCTTAATTTGTCTATACTCCTTACATGCCTGAGGATGATTATTGATTGCATGAGATATGAAGCCTTTAAAACGGGAGATTAATGCTCAACAAAACTCCAAGGAGCCACTCTTTACAATCCTTCACTCTCATACACTATTCATCGTCCTCCATTACTCATTACCTCATTAGTATTCTTTTTTTCTAAACTACTCCATGACTTGAATAATGCTGTATACAGAAACATTTCTAAGATTCTAGGAGTTGGACTCGGTCAATTATATGAGAATTTTGCATGATTTTTGGTCCATAAAAAGGGCCAAATGTCCATACCCATGTCATGAGCATAAAATAACCAAGTATCCAGCAGATAAGACATGAAGCCTTTTAAAAAAAGGGGAAGTTAAAAGCTCAACAAGACTCCAAGGAGCCACTCTTTACAATTCTTCACTTTTACACACTACTCATCATCCTCGTTTACTCATTAATATTCTTATCTCTAAACTACTACTCTCAGAGACTCGAATGACTGCCATATACGGAAATAATTCTAGGACTATAGGTCTTGACTCAGTCTTTTATATGAATACATTGCATGTTTTTTGGTCCAAAAAAAATTGTCAGATGTCCATAGTCCGTACCCATTTATAGAGCATTAAATAACCAAGTATCCAACACAGGCACCTGAGGCGAAATAAAAGATTTCAAAAGACAGCTATGAGTGCTATGACTACTCTGAGACTGAGTAATACTCACAATATTTTTAGAATATTTCACATAGCTATGTAATACTCACAATATTTTTAGAATATTTCAAATCCTGGCATGTGCATGGGCCTGTCAGGGCTAAAAATTCCAATCTACTTCTTTGAGATTTTACTTACTACTCTTGAGACTGAGTTGCAAACACCCCCTTCCCAGCAATGTTTCACAAGGGTCAAGATTTCTCCAAGGGATAAAGATAAATTTCCTGAAGTGCAAATTGTCCAAAGTTCCACACAAGTATCCCACCTTAGACAACTCAAAGATGCTATATATATTTATTAATTATGTTCATGCTCTAGGCAAAAAGCCTAGAAATGTTAGAATTCTCCACTTTTACATTGAAAATGAAATTTGGGGAGGCCACACATAACTTTACTACCACCACTGCCATTAAACCACCTACCAAACAAGCACTTAAAGACTAGGAGAATGCACTAAATTTTAACATATGCAACAAGTCATTAGCTTGGAAAATACTATAATTGAATGGCATCAGTGATTCAGTGTTAGAGATTAAGTTACACATAAGGTCAATGTTGTCTACACTTTATGCAACTAGCTTCACTAATCACTACATTCTCACAATTGAAGACAATGACATTTCCTCAGCATCAACTAAAGTATAATGAAAACCACGCCATCTGTAATAATTGATCTATAATTCATGATTATGAGTGTAATAGAATGATCATATCATTCAGCACAAAAAACATTTACAGGATCCATCATAAAAGCCAACCAATAATTCGAAAGCTATAAGCACTTACAGATAGCAAATTGAGTCACTCCTAGCACAATCAAGACAGAAAGCATGCTCGCATGGACTCTGCAAAAACCACAAAAGTATCATAGCCGTTATGAATCCCAAAAACACAGAACAGGATAGTAAGCAGAAAATAGCACGGTGCAGTTTAAACAATAATTACCCAAAACAGCTTTTAAGTCAAACACCTACTACATGGCTACTTTCACATTGCAGTTGACCCAAGTCTACTTACATTTCAGTCCTTAAACCATAGTGTAAAATCCAGTTTAGATAGTTCTAAGAAATGCTTGTAAAACATAATTTGAGAGAAAACCTCCGTACAACCTTTCTATGCCTTATCAATTATCACTCACCACAGGACCTTTAACACACAACAGAAGTATCGACTCCCTAATATGTAATTGAAAGTTATGCTGCACACAAAAAATAATTGTTGGTTACAGAACAAACTATCTCCTAACCCAAAAGAATCTAGTAAAATTTATTAGGTAATTGGTTCACTTTTGAGCTCTGACAACTAAAGGAAACATCGTAAACCACCAGCAACCCACTCATCCCTGAACCAAGAGAAATGATGCGTACATTTGTTACCTGAGTAATAAGGCAAATAAAGAAGGGTTAAACTCTAAAGTACAGCCTTTACATGGGTATCAGACTACACAAGGTCGAGAAATCAATCCCTCAGCACACACAGTGAAACAATGAAGCATCCTAAGCTGAAAACTCTTAATAATAGACATAAAGATAAAACAATTTCTTATATAAACCAATTCTTTACCCAACTTGATGCCACTAGGTGAATATATAATTTAAAAAATAACTCAAAATCTCATCTAAGAACTCATTAATCACCATTATTGAACAGAGTAAATATACAACCATACGACATTTCAGATAATTTTCGATAAACTCATAACAAGTTGATGAACAAAGAACGTACCAAGCGGCCATAAATTGCAATAGGGAAATCACAACGAACACAAAAGTGGACTCGCTCAGCAAGCTGTCGTCGAGAACGACGGCCCACAATCTTCACAAACGAAGCAGAGGTAGCTGAACCGAGACCCTTGGCAACAGGAAGGTCAGCAAGAACAAGGTGATCAGGGCAAGCAACATTCACAGACTCCCCAGGCAACAATTTTGTTCCAGTGCTACCTTCTAGTGATGAACCTTTATTTAGACGAATTTGAAGCATCTTCACACCAACGAATTCACACCTATGTTGAACAAAAATAATTATCACTCATATTCAAATTCTACCAACAATGCAATTACTCAAATCAATGAAACATAAATAAATCGAAAACCCTAATCGGCAAAATTTCAATCAATGTGTAGTAAATTAGCCCCAAATTTCTCAAAAATCAACCCTAAATCCTTCCAAATCAACACAAAAATCACGTAATCAATGAACAAAAGGATTAAATTAAAATGAAAATTTAAGTATATGATTAACAAACTGTATTGAAAATTTGGAAATCTTTTAACCTGAATTCGATCAAATGAGGAAGAGATGAAGAAATTAACTGACCTAGAAAGTAGTGAAGGGGTTTCCGGATGGAGAGAGAGTGGTGGCGCCGACGTCACCGACACCGACCGCCGGTAGCGACGGAGGATGAGTGTTTGGAGTGGTGGAGGCGTCAACGATTTTCCTTTTGCTACTTTCCTTCTGAGAAAAAAAAAACGCGCCTTCGTGATTTTTTTTCCTTAAAAATAAAAAACACTTGATTTTTTTGTGAAAAGTTAAATGACACTCTCATTTAATTCGGTAATGCCCGCATTTGAATATAGATGAACAAATTATACGGGCATGTATTTTATATTTTTCTTTCCTCTTTTTTTTTTGACAGAATATTTTTCTTTCCTCTAACTCAATCTAACATATTCTCCTCGCAACAAACTACCACCAAACGAGGGCAAGATCATCGAACTCATTGTCGGAGTTAAAGTCGTAATTTTTTTACCTATTTAAATTTTTAGGTGGAGGCCAAACGCCTAATTTTTCAAAATTCTTGGGAAAAAATGCCTAGAATTTTGAAATTCCTAATTTTTCAGTTTTTTTGCGTTTTTTGTTTTTGTCATAACTTTTGATCTCAAACTCAGATTAAGACAAATAATACATTGTTAAAATATATAGAAGTCTACCTTTCAACCCAATTGGAATTGGAATTAAGTCAATATCATTTCTAGATCTTAAGTAAGGTATGGATAAAATACTAAAGTTAGTCCAAAACCAACACCGTTACCCTATTTCAAATAATGGTCCAAATCAAATAATATCATACTGCTATGGAGAAAACGATATGTCAGTCCATTAGACCATTATTATCAATCTAGTTTAGGAAATGCTTAAAGATTGATAAGTTGAAATTGTCCCTTACTTTGATGGTAATTTAGGGGAAGAAAGGTATTGTCGTTGGTTACAGTGACTTAATATGGGGAAAGGGGCCACGTGGGATTGATTATTCTAAATTAAATTAACAATTTTAGGAAGAAAGTAGAGATGTATTCTATTATGATGAGTTTTTTTGTTGAAGAATATTTATGATGACATTTTAAAAGGACATCCTCTAAATTATGATCAATACGGAGTGATATATTATCATTACTTTAATACGGAGTATCTTTGATTAATCTTGAATAGGAGAGTGGTCAAACAGTAAAACACTCAAACTTGTTATACTTTGACTCATTTTTGAAATATATATGTTACTTTGACCTCCATTGTTATACTTTGACTCATTTTCCCTTCCGTTATACTTTGACTTTTTTTTCCTTTGCAAAAAATTTATAATCCACATCCAACAAAATGGAACAATAATCAAAATTCAAAACATGCAAGTGCCCTTTTATAAATTTATTATTTATGACTTAGCTGAAACCAGAATACATGAAATACAATTTGTGTATCTCAAAACTTTGATTAAAAAAAAAAAGCATAAATATACTCTAATAAATTAATTAGTGCCGCCAAATATCTTCTTCAACTCATGAATTTGATTAGCATCCAACAAAGTAATCTTCTGAATAAGATCAGTGGGTAAGTTGTTTGCTGCAATAGATAATGTAGCAATGTGTATGCCAGGATTTGCACTATTAAACGTAGCAGTAGCAACGGCCGGAGTCGTGCCGTTGTTAACCGAAAAATGGTAAGACCCTTGTGGTATGATCATAATATCGCCCTTGTTCAATGTTTTAAAATACGGTTTGTTATCCGTATTTATAAAACCGGTAATCATACTACCCTCGACCATGTAGATAAGTTCTGTCACTCGGTGTGAGTGGAGTGGTACGACTCCACCCACACCAATGTCTGCTCGAAGGACGGAAATACCTAGACCATTCATGGCTGGGAATGTGACATCAAATGCTTCATTTATCCCAAGTTTGAAAATATTTGACCCGTAACCTGGAGTGGCTAGACCCGAAAAAGTAAAATCATCAACCGTAAGGTCAGCGGGATTTCTACAAGGGTATCCTGCCGGTCCACCTGGAAGCTTTAAGTCCGCCACACAAAAATCAACAACACTTGTTGAATATGATTGAGAAATTAAGAGAAAAACGAAGAAGAAATTTTTTTTGTAGTTCCATGATGATTTGTATGAATTTTTTGGGAAATTATGTATTGTTGGTTTATATTCTCTTAGTGTAAGGACTTATGTTCCTATATATAGTGGTAATAAAGAAAACGTATCTCCTAATTAAGGAGTGATATAACAGTTTTTTTCTTTTTTTGCAAATATCTAATACAGTTATATTAGCTAATTCATGTGATGATCTTTCTTAATTTTCATATTGCAAATCATAAATTATACGGAGTATTATACAAATTACCTCCATTATAATAAATAATGCATCCAAAATTAGTGCAATTTTTTAATGATGAAAAGAAACAATAATTTTTTCCCTTAACAAAAAGATTTTCATATCAATTTGTTTATTTTATACCATATACGAAGTAGGAATTATTGATCCATTTATTTTTGCTATTCCGATCCATATCATATGTATCATGATTCTAATGAAGATACATTGTAATTGTAATGGATGGATTGGACTCATTGGAGTACCAATAATGACTAAGTGGTTAAGTCTTTAGACTAAGTGTTTATGTACGATAGGTTATAGACGTTCAAAAATATTACGGGATTTAAAATTCATACCTCCATATACTATGAGATTTTTTTATTTTTTTTGACGTAATATACTATGAGATTTCATTCCTATTCATTCTAGTCTCTCTAGTTTAATAATCAAAATGACCCCTCAATAGACATACAATTGCTAGCCAATTTAGAAGAAGAAATTTTAAATAAAATTCAGTCAATTTAATGTTTTTACATACGATACACAACCATAATTACGGGAAAAAGAAAAATTACAATTGACATGATCAAAGCTAATTTTTTTTTTTTTTTTTTTTTAAATGATCAAAGCTAAGTTAAATTATACAGTAGTTTTAGAATAATTTAAATATTGTCTTTAAAAAAAAAGGATAATTTAAATCACACATTTCCCAATTCGGACGACAAAAGATCCGAGAAAATAAATTAACATATATTCAATACTCATAGGGAGTTAATTTGTAGTAGTAAATATATGGCAAGAAATTAAAATGAAGACATAATTGGATAGGAAGCTAATTAATTAGGAGCTTGATTTTCAATTAGAAAGAAAAAAATCAATTAAAAATTATTTCCTTTTTAGAATATAATTAAAAATATGAATGGATTAAATTGGAGCAACAAATCAAACAAAAGTCCAAACATTTTGATACATGAAGAAAGTCAAACATTCATGCTATAAACGATAACTATTTTAATCCAATTCTTGAAAAATAAATTAAATAGTAGAGTAGTAAATAACCAAAGACGATCTATTAAAAATCAGAGAGAACAAAAAAATATAAAAAATTAGTACTTAGGGAGGTTAAATCATCTTAATGGCTCAATGCCAGAAGATGTTTGGGTAGGTTGCTCATAAATCAAAATGGATATTTAATTTTACTCTACTTATATTATTTTATATACAAAATAGAAAAAAAAATGTAGGTAATGAAGAATTGTTGGTCCGATCCATACTATTTTATGATCAGAAATTTCAATTCGAATAAAAAAGGAAAAAACTTATGCATATTTATTTATTCGACTATGATGTAACTTAAATCGAAGTACAAGGAATTGATGAAATACAACTTGTGTACACGTACAGTTTGATAATTATTACTCCGTACTTCATATATATACATACATATATTATTAATTGGTACCCCCGAAATATTTTCTTCAACTCTTGGATTTGATTAGCATCCAGCAAAGTGATCTTCTGAATAAGATTCATAGGTAAGTTGTTTGCGGCTATAGATGTTGTAAGAACGCGCACATCAGGATTTGAACTGTTTAAGTAGCAATTGCAACGGCAGTAGAATTGCCACTATTTATGACGAAATGGTATGCTGCTTGTGGTAGGATAATGATATCCCCCTTGTTCAATGTTTTATAGTACGCGGTGTTATCTGAGCCTATAAAGCCGGAGGTAATTGTGCCCTCGATCACGTACACGAGTTCGGACACACGATGTGAATGGAGTGGAACAACTCCACCCACCTCGATGTCCACTCGGGAGATGGAAAGGCCTAGACCATTTAAAGCCGGGAATGTCTGATCAATTGCAGCACTTAATGAGGCTACGAAGAGTTTTGACACATTTTTTGCACCATTTAGACCCGAATAAACAAAATCATCAGCTGTAACGTTAGTAGGATTCTTACAAGGATATCCCGCGGGTGTAACAGGATAACTTAAATCTGCCACGCAAAAATCGACCAGGTTGCACTTGATAGAGAAATAAGGAGGGAAAAAACGATGAAATATTTTTGTAGGTCCATGATTTGTATAAAAGCTTTGAAATGGTATGATATTAGGATAGTGCATGTATACACTAGGAGTTGTGTTACTTCCCTTTTACTTATTTTTTGCTCTCAATGTGATGATTTGGGTACCTTTATACGTTAGTATATTACTGGAAGTATCAGCTAAGATCTAAATCAATTATGATCTTTGGATAATCATATTAAGTATATAATGATCTTTTAAATTATTACATCCAATTATCCCATTCTAATTATTGGTGCAATCATATGAAGTAGTACAAGATTACATTAATTACTTAGCTACGTATGCTAGCAAGTAGTAACAAACATGGAACACAATTTATATATACTGGGGTGCACATAGAGGTTGATGAATCAAAAAGTAGTTTTTTATCTATTTGATTTTATTTTTTTATTTATTTTTTATATTTTTAATTTTTTTTTTCATTCTAAGATTTTAAAATCACAAAAAAAAGTATTAAATAAATCGAAAATACGTTGGGTGCACTTTGCACCCGGGTGGATATAATTTTTTTTTTACAAACATCCATATTGATATAACTCAATGCATTCTTCACATACTAAAATTAAAACATGTATGAAAAGACAGAAAAGCTAGTCATACTCCGTGATAGCACTAATTTTTACAAGATTACGTGTATTTTTTTTATTTTTTTTTTTTTGGTTGGAAAAAAGAAAAGCTCTATCGAGTCAGAACCTCTCACATGTCCTCCTGACCCAGGTTAACGAGCTAGACAATTTAGAAGTAGGACAAAGGGTAATGGAATCCCCACCCTCAAAGTGATGTATCTCAAACTTATGAACTTTTTTTTTCTCGCGTTTTTATCATTCTCCTTTCTTTATCCAATCACATTTTTAAATTGACAAACGAAATTAAGTTGAAAGAACACAATTATGTTCAGATCAACAAGCAAAATTAATTTAAATAAACACAATTATAATAAGATCGACAAATATAATTAAATCAAACCAACACAATTTTCTTAGATGGACAAACGAAATAATTAACGATAAAACAGACAAATAAGATTAACCTAAATTAAAAAAAAAAAAATACATATATTAAATTGAGTATAACTTAAATTATTTAGATGCATAAAAGTTGGGAATTAGAAATCATAAAATAAAAACTAATCGGCTAATTAACATTGCGAAAATCATAGATTAATTTTCTTTTTTCTCCTTTTTATATTCTCAAAGAAAATCCCGAATCAT